GGGGGATGTGAACAGCAGGTCGCGTGGCCCTTTGATTTGGAGATAAGCTCAGAGTGTATGTCACTGTTTGCTTTCGGAGATTGTGCAAAGCATGTTAATCTCTGCAACAAAGCTCTGGGAATTGAATTCTGAAAGATCCTTGGAGTGGAAGGGAAGGGGGTTTGCTGAAACAATATGAACCGAAACCCCAACTCCTTGGGATGTAAGTAAACATTACAAGAACAAACAGAGGGCTGCCGCCAGAAATCACTGTCCTATGTTGAGGTCCTCATCCTTAGGCTCTCTCTCTCTCTCTCTCTCTCTCTCTCTCTCACACACACACACACACACACACACACACACACAACCTTATGTCTTGCACATGTAAAAGAAAAAAGAAGAGACGGTGACAGGGAAGGAACAAAAGGAGTGAAAATCTCTTCCATTGGAGGTTTTCAGACAACAATCTTGATCTCCACTCAGATGGTCTTTGGAAAGTTTGCAGGAGTCAATATTATCTATCCCTGGCCTTGCACTTGGTTAATATTTTGTTCCTGATAACAGCGTGTGAAATGTTTTTAATCCAGTTTGGATTTATCCAGTGGGTGAGCAGGGCCCTGGTTGGGTTTTCATAATACGGCAGTGATTTTGACGATGGCACCAATGGTGAAGAAAAGGTGTTATTACAATATGCGTTGTTGGCTTTGATTTGTAGAGACAAAATTATGTTTATTATTAAGCGGTTTGCCAAGGCTTTCAGGTGGTCCATGGGTGGGAGAGACTGAGAATTGCTGCTCTAGTGGATCACAGTGTGACAGCACCACTGACTCAAAATATATTTGAGTCAGTGGTGCTGACAAAGATCTTAACTGAAATACACAGACAGGGTCTGATAAATTGTATTTTTGTGCACCAGCAAGCTTTTTGTCTTCATTTCCTTGCTTTTGACAGAGGCAGCTTTTGATAAGGAACAGGGGTAGAAGTAATGTTGTCAAGACTCTATGCTTGTTCACACATTACACTGAATACAGGTAATAAGCTGTCTCCACACATGTGCAAGGGATGAGGGTGGTGCTGTGGGTTAAACCACAGAGCCTAGGACTTGTAGATCAGAAGGTCAGCGGTTCAAATCCCTGCAACCTTGCTCGGTCCTTGCTCCTGCCAACCTAGCAGTTCGAAAACACGTCAAAGTGCAAGTAGATAAATAGGTACCGCTCCTGTGGGAAGGTAAACAGCGTTTCCATGCGCTGCTCTGGTTCTCCAGAAGCGGCTTAGTCATGCTGGCCACATGACCTGGAAGCTGTACACCAGCTCCCTCGGCCAATAAAGTGAGATGAGCGCCGCAACCCCAGAGTCGGCCACGACTGGACCTAATGGTCAGGGGTCCCTTTACACATGTGCAAGCATTTGCGTGAAAGAGTATTACATGTAGATTTGTACAACTCATCTCTTGTGTACCCTTGTACACAGAGTATACACTCATCAAATGTTACTTGTGTATGAGTGTATATCCCAATTATTTGTGTACACAGCTTGCACACTTGTTGAAGGCGACGTGTGGACTCCCCTCATTGTTAGCCCCAATCAGGACACAGGATAAGCTAAGGACAGTTGTTGTAGCAAGAGGTCACTCCTGTGTGTATGGAATACTTTTTTTAAAAAAAAGCCCTCACACATTTATTAATGGACACAAGTGAAATTAATGTAGGTGAAGAGAAACCCTGACTCCCACCTACCCCGTCACTAGTCACTGCTGGATGTTGCAGGGATAAACATGCCTGTATGTATGAGGTTCAGGTGTATACAGATGAATTCATATGTATATACAGGCACAGAATCAGAGAATTGGAAGGGACCACGAGTGTCATCTAGTCCAACCCCCTGCAATGAAGGAATCTTTCCCCCAATGTGGGGCTTGAACCCTTGACCCTGAGATTAGGAATATCGTGCTCTACCGAGTGAGCCATCTTATCTGAAGATGAATCAGCCACTCTCTGCTCTGGCTTGACTCTCATTTAAAGGTAAAGGTACCCCTGCCTGTACGGGCCAGTCTTGACAGACTCTAGGGTTGTGCGCCCATCTCACTCAAGAGGCCGGGAGCCAGTGCTGTCCGGAGACACTTCCGGGTCACGTGGCCAGCGTGACATCGCTGCTCTGGCGAGCCAGAGCCACACACGGAAACGCCGTTTACCTTCCCGCTAGAAAGCGGTCCCTATTTATCTACTTGCACCCGGGGGTGCTTTCGAACTGCTAGGTTGGCAGGCGCTGGGACCGAACGACGGGAGCGCACCCCGCCACGGGGATTCGAACCACCGACCTTTTGATCGGCAAGCCCTAGGCGCTGAGGCTTTTACCCACAGCGCCACCCGCGTCCCTGACTCTCATTTACTCTGGAGCAAATGCATCTAGAAATACACGTATCTCCAATTCAGAATTCCTCCATGCTCACTCCTGTGCAATTAGGGATCCCTATTCATTTTTTCCCTTTGTGTGTGCAGAACTACCGTCTTCCTCCACTGAAATGAAACAAGGCAGCCAGGTCAGACAGGGGCAAGAGTGGACTCACCCCAGCAAGAGCACCACAATAACCCCATTCAAATCCAAAAGGAATTTGGGGATTTGTCTAGAGCCGCAGTACATCGGAAGAAAAACTTCACTCTGTCCTGAACAGTGTAATAGTATATAGCTCTCTTAACTCCACGGCAGACTGACATAGCCACAAGGTCTTTGTCCCAGACCCCAATCTGCCAAGTGGGGTAATAACACTGGTGTGCCTTAGAGGGTTGATCAAAGGTCAAGCTGCGTGTAATGTTAAAGGCATGTGAGCGAGTGGCATGAAATATGTGGTCAGGGGTTAAATTGCTTTGAGATATTTTATAGGAAGCAATTCATAAATGGAAATAAATAGCACCCCTTCCCCGTGAGCTGTGCTTGCCCCCTACAGCTGATATTTAAAGAACACTCAGCATGCATATTAAATAATTGTGCAGTAAGTTAACAACTTATGCACATTTAACAGGTGTGATGTCAACCTTACTGGCTGGTGGAAAGCACACTATTTAAACACATGGAATAATAATAATAATAATAATAATAATAATAATAATAATAATAATAATAATAATAATAAATAGTTTATTTGTACCCTGCCCATCTGGCTGGGTTTCTCCAGCCACTCTGGGTGGCTTCCAACAAAGATTAAAAATACATTAAAATGTCACACATTAAAAACTTCCCTGAACAGGGCTGCCTTCAAATGTCTTCTAAATGTCAGGTAGTTATCTCTTTGACATCTGATGGGAGGCTTTCCACAGGGCAGGGGTGCCACTACCGAGAAGGCCCTCTGCCTGGTTCCCTGTAGCTTTGCTTCTCACAGTGAGGGAACCACCAGAAGGCCCTAGGAGCTGGACCTCAGTGTCCGGGTTGAACAATGGGGGTGGAGACGGTCCTTCAGGTATACTGGACCGAGGCCGTTTAGGGCTTTAAAGGTCAGCACCATCACTTTGAATTGTGCTCAGAAATGTACTGGGAACCCCGGATAATCTGAGGCATTGATAAAGTTACTTCTGTGATGCCACGAGGGATGGGCAGACTGTCAATTTTGGTTTCTCTCAGTTGGTCATGTTTCCAATCCTAAATTGAGTTCTCCACATACCCCCTCAAATCTGCATGTTATTTTCACTAATATATGCTCTTTACCCAGTATCCAACACCCCTCCTTTAAATGTACATATTACTTGCCTGGAGAACTGCATTACAAAATTCAGGGACGTGCCGATTTCAAAGGATGGCTGAGTTTTGGTTCTTGTGCTGTTTTGGAAAGTATGAACTGGGTGAGGTTAGCCTTTCAATGCAAACTCAAGTGAATTTCACCCCATTCCTAAATGCCTCCCGATACCATTTCCCTTTATTTATTCACTTAATCAGTGGTAGTGCTGCTTGCGGTCAGGGGTACCTTTTACCTTTACCTAGCGCTGCTTGCAAATGTATTTTTGACAGGAAGCAAAAAAAAAGGCATGAGGGGGAGAGAGGAAAATATCAAAATATCGAATATCTTTTTTGCAAAGGAAACAGATGGGAAAAATATTTTTTTATCTTTCATGAAATCCGTGCACATGTTCTCACTCTCGGCTTTCCCTTTTCTGGATTTTGTATATTTATTTATTTTATTTCTGTGTTGGCGACACCCACAGGCTTGCGATTCAAAAGCCAGCCAATCTATAAATGCCTGCCTGAGTGTGGGGGCGGTCAATTACTCTGCGAGAGATTTCCAAGGCAGATATTAGCAAGCGTGCAGCATCTCGGAGAGGGAAGTCTCATTTGGGATGCAGGATCCGAGATGGTCGTAGCTGGGATCATCTGATCTCGCAGAGTCAATCCCGAGACAGCTCTTGTAAAAGGGAGGGGGGAGAGGCACCCGGCTTTGAGTGGCTGCTTCGTCGTGATGCCTTAAAGAGAGAGAGAGACACACAGAGAGAGAGCGCACTATTATATGCAGTCCGCTTGCAGGCTGCCTGTCACAGCTCTGATCAGGGAACCACCTGCACTCACAAGTCTCGCTGTTTTCTACCAACACTAAATGCTGTCAGGATGCATTGTTGCTGGTGCTAAGCAAAAGCGAAAAGGGAGTCCTTCTGGCTTTCGGAGAATCTTCAGCAATTTCCATCAGAAGTGCTTTCAGGATTCGGTTGCTTCTGAGAGCATCTCTGCGAGAGTTGTGGCATCTGCTGAGTGTTTCCACCGAGAACGAGCAAAGAAGAATATGTGTTAGTGGGACAAACCTTAGAGAAAAGGGGCGTCTGCTAGCAAGAGAACTTTTCTCTCTCAGGAAGCAGAAGCTGGCCTTTGGGATGGAAGAGGGGAAAGTCTCCAAGGGCAGCCGATCTCATGCCTTTGATTACGTCTCATGATTTGACAGCCCACAAGCCAACTCTCTGGGTCTCGGGACAAAGTGGACTTTGGCAAAACAAAAACAACAAACAGACAATGGTGCAAAATGTGATCTTGGTTTTCTTCCGCAGGCGACTGAGCCAAAGACCTGCTGTTGAGGAACTAGAAAGAAGAAATATTTTGAAACGTAAGTAATTGATTCCTTTTCTATAAATGGTAAAATGATGTTTCTGTTCTTAACACAGGGGGAAATAGTTGTTCCCCATTGAGACAGGGTGGGCAGACAATGGGATGTCCTCTTGCCTAGTTTGGATCTCTAGAAGGCTGCTGGACTGTTAACCAGTAGGATATTTGCTCTTCAAATGTAGATCTACTCATTTGGAATGTAGATGAGGATCACTGTTAAATAATGCATGGTTTGTGTGAACACAGCCATAAATAAGTAGTAGTAGAAGATAGGTATAATAATTCCAGAAGTGTCTTGGGCTCTTCATATTGCTTGCTCTCACAACAGCCCTGTGAAGTACACCACAGTTATTCCCATTTTACTAGTGGGAAACTGAGGCTGAGAGATAAATCATTTGCCCAAGGCAAGCCACAGGATCTGTTGCAGACATTTGCAGCCATGTCTCCTGATTTCAAAAATAATTTGTAGTGTCCTGTTTGAAATTTGTTAGAAAAATTGAATTTCTCCTCCTCCGACTCTGTGTAATCATGTCCTGGATTTAGTGGGGGTTTTTATGGGTGTGTTTTAACAAAGAAAAACCAAGTATACCCCAAACTGCAACTCATCACTTCTAAAAGAAAAAGCAAGGGGCATTCATGCGGACGAATGAGTTTTCTGGCGAGCGAATTGGTTGCGGAACACGCTGACCTTTCTATGTCAGCGCAAACTATGAATTAAAACCACAAAAAGCAAATTAGTGTATCATAATTGTGTATGTTCTGCAACATTGCAACTGAATTTCACCTGAAACAAAACCAGGGGCCAATTCAGGGAGCCCTGCATGGCAAAATCGGTCAGAAGATTTTTAAAAAATTATTATTATTATTAAGAATCTGTACGATGTTAGTGAAATTTCACTGATAATTTCACTGAAGAGTCTGCACACCTCAGCAGTTTTGGTTATCACTGTAGAAAATGTTCACTATAGGAAATAGGGTTGCAAATAAGCAGATTTAAGGCATGTAGAGATTCACGTGTCACCCTACCCCTAAGGTCAAGGCTGGCATCATTTCCTTATCTTCCTCAGCTCAAGAAACAATGAGAGAGGTTGCAAATAATTTACAGATTTAAGACAGAGAGGATTAGGCTGCACTCCTGCACAGATGTGCTTGGGAGCAAATCCTATTCGGTCAGTTGGACTTTTGAGTATATTTGCATAGGATCTGGCCACTCATGACTTGTCTGAAGCCTGCCACTGGTTTCATGCAGAGGCTGGTTGGAATCCTGCCTCTGCCACTTACTTTCACCCACATTCTCCCATCTGCAAGATGAGGATCACAACAGTGGCCTAACTTGAAGGTTTGTTGAAAGAAGAACTGTGCATGGAATGCTTTGGACGCACCAAAGTGCTCCAAAGTGATGGTTATGGTCAAAATCTCTGGGTACATCCACTTAGGCATTAAGCCTGTCTCTGGTCTGTAAGCTACGCTGATCCGCAGATCCTCGCGCACAGCAATTCACTGTGTGCACACAACTTTGCGCATGGGCCTTCTCTCCTGCACATATGGTTGTACTAATGGTGCTAGTTGCTAGGAGAAAAGTGGAGAAGGCAGCCTAGATTCACGCCCAAAATGAAAGGTGGACACCAGCAGAGTTGACTATGGCAACTTATCCAGTGGGAAACGTGTGCAAAGGTCTGCTCTGGCAAGGAGACCATACGTAGATCCCCAGGGATTGAAGCAAAATGCTCTCTCTAGTGCATTTCTCACTTTGTGTGTGTGTGCAGGTGTGCACACACAGAGATTGCATTCTGCAAAGCAATTTGTGCATTGCAGTCTGCTTCTGCACATAGGCTGCCCTTGCAGGGATCAGGGTGACTAGTTTTCACATTTCCTTCTCTCTCTTGATCTATTGAGATGAGCGCAGGGTGAGAGGTGGAGGATGAGATTTGAACCAAAAGAAAGATAAGCAAAATGGACGAGGAACCTTAATGGGATGTCCTTTGCAGATAAAGCAAGCCCATCCTCCTGGACTTCCTCTGGATTTCCTCCCAAGGGAAATCTGGCGGCTAAATTGAATCCATTTTCCCTTTAAAAATCAAAGTTCCTGTTCCCATCAACCAGGAAGATGGGCCACCAGGCAGGTGGGGCAAATGGGTGGCCTGGCTGACACCTGCAAATCCGGCGAGAGGGAAGCTGTTAAAGGAGCAAGTTCTAAGAAGGTATCAGATAGTGGGGTCAGGAGATGCCTCTGGTCTGATTTGATCGGCAGTATCTGATTATATTCTCATATCAGGGGAGTGGCTGCAGCTCAGTAGTAGGACACCTGCTTTGCATGCAAACGGTCCTAGCTTCAAACTCAGTCAAAAGGGGCAAGTGATGGGGAAAACAAAAGCCTGAGTCTTTGGAGACCTGCTGTCTGTTGAGCTGAACGTACTCAGCTAGACGGACAAATGCTTAAGGCTTGGTAGACGGTCACTTCTGATTCTCCTATTCCAAGTTAGCTGTGTCCCACACAAGTTGCAGTGGGGAGCTGTTGATTTTTGAGAGAGCAGGACCGGAGTGTTTCCTTGTGCAAACAAATCAGCAATAACGGAGCTTTCACTGGTGAGCAGGGCTGGGCATGATGCTCCTTCGATGCAACAAATGCAAACCATAGAAGCCTTCAAGGCTCTTTCGAGCACTCACACTGGTAGTCTTCTTGCGAGAGCTGTGCAAGGTGTAGTTATCAGATGCTTCTCCATTAAACCCCACTCTCTGCCTTTATTTTGGACTGGTTCAGATATTTGCCATTTGTCACGTGGAGCAACCTGAACCTCTCCAGGGACACGGGACACTTTTGCTTACAGCTGCTGCGATATTTTCCATGAGTGCAGAGGGTACAAGATTGCCTGCAGCACTCATGCAAATCTCCACTGGGAAGTGGTGGCTGTAACTGGAGAGACCAGGAAAGGCTTCACTTCTGCCACTGGAGAAAGGGGGGGGGGAAACCTGCCCCCAACAACCTTCACAGAAAGCCACAAACTGTTTCAGGAGACTCCATCCTGCGCAACCATGCAATAAAAATACCTGGGTGCGTTTTTTGAGGATTAGAGAGTTTACAAGTGATTGTTGTCTGCAAGTGTTTTGCCTTGCAAGCTACTAATGAGCACATTTAGATTCTTCCCCCCCTCTAGGTTGCTTGAAAGACACTGGGACAATTTGCTCCTATTGTCATATGATATAAACCAGGTGTAGCCAAGCAGGAGAGGCCCTCAATAGGTTTTGAACTACAATTCCCATCATCCCTGACCATTGGTCACACTGGCTGGAGCTGATGGGAGTTGCAGTCTAAAACTTCTGAAGTCCACCATGTTTACTGCTCTTGACATAACAATCCCGCACTTAAAAAAGAAGTTTCCCCACTAGGTCCCATTTTTTGTTCATCAGTGGCAACAGACCTTTTTCTTACTGCTGCCTTTCTTCACTTGAGTAGTTTAGGATTGTTTACATGGAGTCACTAGCACATATCCAGACTGACTTTTTTGCTGCTCACAGCGATTCCTAAGTCTTACTACACTACCAAGCTGGGATAGCACAATTGGTAGAGCTTGAAGCTCCGGACTAATGTACTAAAGCCCTGGACTGGTATTTTGAATGGTGAACTCACTTTTCACACGGACACAGAAAGACTTTTTTGTTGTTCTGTCCAGGTCCCAGCACAGAGTTGTTGTGTGAATGTTTCAGAATAATACCAGTAGTGTACTTAGTGAGAGACGTCGTAGCTATTATCCCTTTCATTGAGCCTAACCTAGGATACAAAAGATTCTTCTTTTGGAGGGTATGGGGGGATTATCTACTATTTGCTGTGACTTCTTTCAATGGAGAAAACGTTCCCATTTATCATTGACGATCCATGCAGTCGTGCATATTTCACTTCATGGGACGTAGAAACAGAATAAAATGCCAAAACACAAGCTCTAAACTCTAAAAACAATGAAACAATTTCATCAGATATAAAATTGACCTTCCACAATTGACTGGGGAATTCTTCTCAAGCAAAAATGTCTTCAGCAGGCACCTAAACATTATCACGCTAGGTGCCTGTCTGATTTTGGCTTGTCATTGATTCCAGAGAGCTGGAGCTGCAACACTAAAAAAACCCATTTCTAGTAAAGGCTAAGAAATAAGAATAGGGACATGCAAAGCTGCCTTATGTTTGCCATCTCACCCAGGGTTATCTCCCCTGACTGTCTGTGACTGGGTCTTTCCCATCTCTTCCTACTGGAATGGACTTGGGATCTTCTGCCTGCAAACTTTGTGCTCTACCACTGAAGTCAAGTCCTCCCCAATTCCCTCTTTGAGGTCCCCACATAGCCCATCTCAGCACCACCAGAAGAATCAGCCCTCCATTGGCTTGATGGATGATTGCTGTTGTGGCCAGTCAGCAGAGGATAGGCCACAACTGTCGGAATGACGTCTGCAGTGATAGTTTCTTCTAACCCAAACATAGGTCCAAATATTCACAAAGAGTTCTCCGGTTCCTTTCTGCGAGCGACGTTCCTATTCAAGTGGTTTCTTCTTCCATCTGAATGTAACATGACTCGATCCAGGCGTACCCTGGCGATTGTTTCGGTGTCACGGCTAATTTAGAAACCTTGTCAAGGGAAAGGGTGTAAATTACACTCTTGTGTTTGGCACTGTATGGCTGGAGGAGTTTGTCTTGTTAAGACGGACGAGCCTCAAGCCAGACACTTAATAATTAATGGATCAAAGGGCAGTCAAAGCCGACTGCCAGGCTGCTGTTACAGAGCCCATTCGCTTCCACTCCATTGTAGTCTAACATTACGATAATATAAATACCTGTCCTAATGCACCACCCAGTAACATTCCTCTTCCTAGCAAAGACCAACTGGCAAACAACTGCTTGGTGTTGGGCAAGAACAGATGCACTTTGAGGGAGTTTACATTCAATTAGCCAGTCCAGACTAAATATGGATTCACAGCAGTGCTATTTTTCTAGAAAAAGAGGTGCCGGAACTCACAATGAATGCCTTCCTTGTTATCTTAGAATGGCAGTGGAGCACACCTGAGAGGTGCCGGAACTGAGCTCAGGTGATTTCTAGCTGGGGGAAAAGCCCTGATTCATAGAATCATAGAGTTGGAAAGGACTGTCAGAGTCATCAAATCCAACCCCCTGCAATGCAGGAATCTCTTTGCCCAACGGGGGGCTTGAACCCTCGACCCTGAGATTAAGAATCTCATGCTCTGCTGGCATTTCTGCTTCTCTGTGGCTGGATCCATTGCCACTCAACCAATGTCTGAGATGAAAATCTGCATGTTCCCACACCGTTGCCACCCTTCCTTGGGTGGCAATGGGGTGGGAATCTGCTTGATCTGGTCAAGACACTTGATTTTATCAATGCCACCAAAGCCGTATGCGACTTTGTACCCCGTGGAGACCCTGGTAAAGTGGATGTGAAAGACAGGGCCAACCCCTCATCTGAAGCACTATGTCACTTTGCATCCTTTCCTGTGCTTAACTTGAGCCAGGGGTGCCTCCCAGGGCTTTTTTTCACTTGCTTGGACATTGAAAAGGCACGTGCCTTTTGAGCATGTGCAGAGTGTATTTCCCTCGGGGCAACCAGTCACCCTCTGTGCACACAGGATTAGCAGGGAGGGGTGTGATTTCCTAACCCTTTCCTTCCCTATCACTTCCCACATCCAAAATGGAGCACAGATTCTTTCTCTTGGAAAGCTTTTTGTGCATTTTCTGATTTATATATATATTTGACAGGTAACAACAGATCTGGCTAAATTAATTGTATTTGGAACGGGTGTGCTAACGATGCCCTAAAGGTATCTTGCTATCATTTTGCAACATTGCCCACCTCCCCTCCCGCCCGTATTGTGTTACACACAAACCTACCACTGCAGCCACCTAAGCAGAAATCAACAACCCTGCTTGAGATTCTCACAATTCCGTCTTTAAGATCTAACCTAAGCTGCTTTTTCTTGTGACTGCAAAGATTTCTGACTCTCTGGTTACAACGTGTGTGCTTGCAGCTACTATCCTTCCATAAATAGCTCCATGTGGCTGCTTCTTTTCAAAGTGTTCAGTCAATGGCATAAATAGAGAACTGGAGTCTAAAAATACCTTCCTCGCGCTGTGCCCCCCCCCCAGCAAGCAGCATCTTCAATGCTTATTGAAGGATGCAAAATCATTCCTCTGATTTAATGCAGAAAATGCCCCCTTCCCCAGCAGGTTGAGGTTATCATGTGCAAATCAGGATTCCCCACGATTCAATAATCTCCCTTTACCTTCTTCTTTTCTCCCCTTTTCTGGGGAAAAAACGAGACCTTTCCCGTAGGTTCCCTGTTCCTTACAGGTCACGGGCGCACGTCTTAATTTAGCAACAGACAGCCCTTGAAATAGAATCAGAGGAGAGAGAGAGAGAGAGAGAGAGAGAGAGAGAGAGAGATCCATTAAGTCATATCCCAAGGCTGAGGATATATTCCACACAATGCTACAGCAGCCGTTCCTATTTTTAGCACCAGCGTGTAGGAGTTATCGCAGCTTGAATACTAATCGTTTACGGTGTGCACGAGGGAAACAGGCGGAGGGGTAGAAGAGAGCATCACTCTGGGAAAATAAAATAATAATTTAAGGAAAGAGATCAGACCAGCCAGCCAGCCAGCCGGCTGCCCCTCCTTCCGCATGGAATATTAAAGGATCTATAATAAGATTGGCACAAGCAGAATATTAGAAGGCAAAGGAATGCGTGGGAGTTGATTGCTGGCTATTGTTATAAATTAATCAACAAAATTACGGGAGCCTGGCAGAGTTTAGAGTACAAGGAACGTGTGTTCCCTGAAGCAGGGCTGCTATACAATGTTCCAGCTCGTAAGGGCAGCACGGATGACTCAGACAGAGATGTGGCATTGCAAAGCGATCATTTAGACTTCTAAAAAGTCCATCGATTTCCCCCTCCGAAAACACTCCTCGTTGTGCTAACCGGGGGACGGGATTGGCTGCTTCGTGTTTGCCGAAGCCCGCTTTCAGTGGCTGCCAGGGGAAGGGCTTGGCACTGGCATCTGTGTAACCCTGCCGCGAAGGAGTGTGATGCTTTTGGCAGGGCATCAGGCAAGGTGGACTGTGTGGTGAGCTGAGAGACAGAGAGGGGCAAAGAGAGGGACGGAGGAAGAGCGGCAGCAGCGCAGCTGGTCTTGATGAGGAAAGTCATCTCTCTCTTCATCTTTCCTGCAGAAAGGAATGACCAAACGGAACAGGAAGAAAGGAGAGAGATCAAGCAGAGGCTGACGAGAAAGGTAAGGTGTGTCCCCCCTCCTTCCCTCGAATATTCCCTGTCTTGGTCCTATGTTTCGCACATGGTTGGTGACAAGGTCCTACTGTAGCCAAGCGTGAGAATAACAAATGGCAGCAGGGACCCAGGCTTTTGTCTGCATAAGGGTGAGGGCACACCTGCAAATAGAGTCCTAACCCCCAGGTAGCTTCTGATGGAATCGTAATCGCAGGACAGGTTGGTCATGACTAACCCTCATCTCAGGGCTTGTCCGCACTTGCACCTGTCCCAAGCCTAGAAAGCATAAGTCTGAGAGGTTCTCCCGGGGGGGGGGGGACATCATTAAGAACTCTGGAACTGGCATTTGCGCCAATTGAGCGCTAAAGAGCAGTTTTCGCCAGGGGGAATCGACAGGGCAAGAGGAAGAGTGGATAAGCCCTCAGTTGGGTTGGGTCATCTCTAACTTTGGCTGGATGATGCCCCGTGACTTGTGTGTACTTTTAAACAGGTTAGGCAGGCGTCAGAAGGAATGATGCCTTGGTTGGCTGGTCTACAGGTGGGCCATAGCTTCAGTGTTCCACAGGTTCTTGAAACCACATGAACCCCATTTGTGGGGTGACAACAAAGCATTGTCTTGCAGCTGGGGATCTACCACAGACCTCAGGTGAGCTGCAGGCAAGGATTTGCTCTTGCATGTGGTTGCAATCCAACAGGTGCTGGCCCTTGCAGTGCCCCCTCCTCTGTCATAATGGAGATTACATGGGAGCAGCCCTTGGCAAATCATGTGTATGATAAGCAAAGTCATCAAGTTGAAGGAAGCAAATTCTGCACTCAGCTAATTGGTGACCATTTGCTTTCACACTTCACTTTTTGCTACCAAAGCAGTTTTATTTACATACATATGCAGACACAGACACACACCTTGTGGTGAGAAACCCACATAAACTGGCTCCCTTCATGGTAGCCGGTGTACATTCCTGTATGATGTTCCTCAGTACAAAGCCTTTTGTGCTTATATGTTGCTGACCTCTCTGTGTACATAACCAAGGGTAGCTAGCTGCATTTATACCCTGCTTTTCCGCTCTAAAAATGGAGTTGCACCAAGAAGCCAGCATGCCAAAAGGACAACAATCCATTATTAGAACACAACTGCCAGACTAAAAGCAGCATCAAGATGACAAACAGCCCAAAGTAACAATCAATAAATTAAAGAACAGAGAGAAATGTTTACAGGGAAATGTCTTTGGTTGCCAGCAGAACAAGACAAGAGAGGAAGATAGCTAAACTTCTTTACAAAGCGCTAAATCCTTGTGCTGGGAGTGCAGACAAACCGTTGTGGAGCTCAGGAAAGAGTCTGCAGAATTTAGCTTGTGCTTTATAAACATATGTATTGCTAGTTCAGCTTTATGTCGAGTTGTAGGTGTCTGGTAACGGGATATTTAAAACCCCTTTGTGCCAGCAACCAGAATTACCAGCATATGGATAATTCCCAGAAAGAGTTTTGTTCATTCATTCCCTGAGGGAGTACATGTACAAATCCTTTGCAGATAGCACTAAATATAGCCTGGCATTAAAAATGAATGATACGAGGTCCTAGAAACCTTTCTCAGAAAGTAATGCCAAGATTCATTCATAAGACATGTGGACCAAAAATGAAAGGCAATGCTGGTTTACTCTGGAGCCTGTAAATGAGACTGTGTAACACACTGTGTACACATGACTTCTCCCAAAGAACCCTGGGAACTGGGAGCCAGATTCAATTAATCGGTTTCACTAGCAGAAGCCCAAACAGGGACTTCTGCTAACGCAGTGGGGCTCTTCCCCCATTCCAACCCCCTCCCATGGCTTTGAGGTGTCAGGAGAACCCCTCTGACCAACCTTGTGTAGGGGGAGGAGAAGGGAGACCTCTTCATTGGGCAAGGTGAAAGGTTTGTGCTGACAGAGTGTTTGTGTTAGCGTGATGCTGAATTCCTCCTTGTAGTTTGTTAAGGGTGCTGGGAATTGTAGCTCTGTGAGCAAGTAAGCTACAATTCCCGGGATTATTTGCTGGGAGCCATGTGCTTTAAATGTATGGTGTGCATGTAGCCTGAAAATTCAAACCTCCCGCTTGTGGGATTGCATTTGAACATTAGTGCACAAGGAGAGAGCTGCTGGGTCAGACAGTGGCTAACCAGAAGCCTATGAGAGTCCCTTGCCTTGCTGCAGGCCACGCCCCTCCCAACTGACGCATACTTGGTGATAGGATGAAGGGGACCTACATTCAATGAGCTCCTCCATGTCAGCAGGAACCCTGGCCAATCAGGGATCCTGGTGGAATCCTACTCATGTACACCTGCATACAAGTAGATCTCTTTCATTCTACTCATTGAAGTTGCAGGCTGGCGAAAGGGTTTCCTTGATATAATGTGTGAACAGGGAAATTTCCCAAGCAGTAAATAAATATAGCACTACAGCAGAGAGATATTTCACTGCTGCAACAATGCAAATGTAGAGTAGCAATGACAGTTGAGTATTTGCACCTGTGTAAATGACCTGAGGTTCCCGATCTCTGTTTTGTGAAGACTGACTTCCTGGATTTCAAATACAAACACCAAGTTTCCCTTGTGTTCCTAAATGCATATTATGAGAATGAGCAAGAAATTGATGAAAAATCGGTCTTATTACCATGTCATATTTATATGGTGACTTTTCCCTCCCTTTCAAAGCTTAATCAAAGACCGACAGTTGACGAATTAAGAGACAGAAAAATCCTAATTCGATTCAGTGATTATGTGGAAGTGGCAAAAGCACAGGATTATGACAGACGAGCAGACAAGCCATGGACAAGGCTCTCAGCAGCTGATAAGGTACAACCCAATTTGCAATTGTTGTGATGTGCATCTATTTGCATCTGTGTTTGTTTGTTTGATATACCACTGATACAGCATGACTCTCTACATTAGATGAGTCATATAACAGCATATAAGCATTGCATCTAGATGTAAGACATAACTTAAGGACAGACTGCACATTGCACTAATTTCCAGCGGTTAATTTCCACGTTAGTTTCTTGCATCAAAAACAACAAACTGTCTTGTGGTTCCTTAACAACTATAAACAAGTTTATAATCAATGCGCTGATCTTTAAGGTGCCACAAACCTCTTTCAATTATGTGACCCTGTTTGCTGTTTTTAAACTAACATTTGAAAACATTGCAAATTAACATGTCTAGCGATATGTGCAGCCCTAAAGGATCACATTGAGGATAAAGGGCACAGCACCCATTTGTGCATATAATTCTTCATCCAGGTAGGAATATAGTCTACTATGGTCCCTGGCAGGATTGGGACATCTGCTGTAAAGATTAGCTTACAATCTTCCATGCCAGTATATAAGAGTTTAGGATGCTCCATAACCTCCTATCGTGGTATAAGTCAGTCCAACATAGACCCAGCATAGCAGGGTGACTCAAGTCATGTCAGTGTAGAAATGCAAGGGCATTTATTTATTTATTGCAGGGGCATTATTTATTTGCTGCTGTTCTTTCTTGAACTGGTGAAATCCAAATTAAGGTACAGTGGTGCCTCGCAAGACGAAAATAATCCGTTCCGCGAGTCTCTTCGTCTAGCGGTTTTTTCGTCTTGCAAAGCAACCCTATTAGCGGCTTAGCGGATTAGCACTATTAGCGGCTTAGCGGCTATTAAAGGCTATTAGCGGCTTAGCGGCTTAGAAAAAGGGGGGGGGGAGCGAAAAAAATCGCAAGACTCGCAAGACGTTTCCGTCTTGCGAAGCAAGCCCATAGGGAAAATCGTCTTGCGAAGCAACTCAAAAACGGAAAACCCTTTCGTCTAGCGGGTTTTTCGTCCTGTGAGGCATTCGTCTTGCGGGGCACCACTGTACTAAAATGTACTTCACCATGATTTTTTCTAGTTGCACACCCCTATTATGTTTTAAGATTCGTTTCAATGACATTGCAAAGCCCTTTGAGTTTTTAGAAGTGTCATACAAATCTTTGAAATCAAGGGATTCGTTTCCATCCACACATACAACAAAGTGAATCAGCAGCGAAGCAGGTAACATGCCTAGTGAATTGCTTGAGAATGTAATTGCACATACATTGAGGCACATGAAGGACCATTGAGGCACATGAAGGACCAGTTTTGCACAGCAAGCTGGCACAATTAATGTTTTTTTTACACAGCGAAACTGTTTTCTCCCTACATGCAGATGTCATGAATTATTTCTGTTTTGCATTTTTAACAAGGCTTGTTAATAGGTAGCTTAGGGACCTTAAGTTGCATCTGCTTAAAGCAGAAGGGAAGAATCATTGTCCTGATCGGGGGTAGGGATTACCAACTAGGTCACCACTGTGTGCTCGCATGTGGCTCTTTCAGAATGGAAGGCTGCAACATCTGGTTGAAATCCAGCATGCAGTCACTGGTGAATTTTGTTAAGAGTTGAGTGATATGGAAGAGGCTTCCTCACCTAGGGCAAGGTTTCTATAGGAAGGAACTAGTTCACTGAAGCTCAGCGGTAGAGCATCTGCCTTCCACACAAAGGGCAAGGGCGAAATCAGGCTTTATTTCACCAGGGTCAAAACCCCGTTTCGCAAAAAACAAAAAACCACCCACATTTGTGTACACCCACCTACACAGGCTGGGAGCTTCAATGGCGCTCCTCTGGAGGCTTCACCCGGGGCGGGGGGGAACCAGCTACCTCCTCCCCCCGCTAGCTAGGGCTCTAACAAAGGCCCAAGGTTCAATCCCTGGGGTTGTCAAATAAAACTAGGAAATGTTCTTGATTGAAATCCTGGAAATCTGCTGCCAGATCCCCTGATCTGATTCAGAATTAGGCAGCTTTCTATGTTTCTGTGTTCCCAGATTAATAAGCATCACTTGGTAGAAATTTATCAATCAAATACATGTACACACACACACACACACACACACAGCTATGAATTTGACCAGGCCCTCACAATTTGAGGTAAACACATGGCAAAGCAGTCGGATGACCATTTCACTGGGAGCTCAAAAGCTAGTGGATTGTTCTGTGCAAGAGTTAAACCAGATTTCCTTTTTGTCCTTCCAACTGTTATGATTTTATATTGAGGAGCAGATTGTAGTCTCTGTTGGATTCTTGATTGGATTAATTAACTTGGTTTTCCTTTGAACTTTCTAGGCAGCCATTCGAAAAGAGCTAAACGAGTACAAAAGTAACGAAATGGAGGTGCATGCATCAAGCAAGCATTTGACAAGGTGGGTTACTTATTGCAAACAGCTGATCAGTACTTTAATCGATTTGCCATTCAAGTTCTGTGGTTACAGCTCCAGTAGCCAGATTGAGGTGGAGGGTAGGGAGTGGAACGGACACATGCATACAGCACTTTTAAAAAAAAATATTGCTTCCTCGTCAAATTGGGACTATATGCACATGGAAGCTGCCTTGTAGCAAACTTTGCGGATCAGGGCACTCAGATTCTTTGGCTTAGGGGCACAGAATTGAAACAGCAGCAAAAAATAAATAAAAATGATAACCTATTCTAGAATATTAACTAAAAACCTCTGCCAACAAGAAATAATGTTAGGTGGCAAAGACCTTTCAACCAAGTTCAGACTTCAGGTATAACTTAATTAGCCTCCCCTTCAAAAAAGAAAGCAAACAGAAAACCTATGATAATTTAAACTCCCCCTTCTTCTCAAAAATGAGTAAGTAAAGATCAGGGCAGTACTCCTATCCGTAGACGCATGTATCTCCCTATCCACAATTCAGAAGTGACATCTGTCACTCCCATCCATCATGGAAGCAACAGGTCTTATAACCTTCCTGAAATCCAAAAAAACATATTGATCTCTACAGTATCTTCCCTAACAGGTTGCCTTCCTTCCTTTCAAAAGTGGTCAGATGATACAAAATTGGTACTGTGCATAAAGCTAGCAAAAAAACAAACAGAAAACTTGTCCAATTTCCAGCTCCAAGTCATCTTCCATTTAGGGTATGGGTTGGTTTGAAAAGCTTTTAGAGCGCATAAATCTCAATCCTAATTTGGGTGAACACTGGCCAGCATTTCCAAAGTAGTAACTTGTTATAATTTACATGAAAGTACTGATTCAGCCACTTATATCCTGTGAATCTGGAGCCTATTCCCTTGCTTGGCCAACTTTTTGATCTAGTATGAAATTCTGGTCAAGTACCAAAGTGTGGTAACTGTAGCAATGAAAACTGCAAAGACTTCCAGCATTATGTGCAATTCTTATAATTCTTCCAGCATTATGTGCATAAATGGATGTTTTCATATTGCAACCCATGTTTGCAATATTGCCTGTTTGGCCAGTTTGCTCAAAATAAACCAATCAAAAGAATTTTGAGGACAGCACAATCCTGAATATTTCATATTAGCCACATTTTATTGATTCTAATAGTGTTGAATCATTTTTTGGGGAAACTATTTTTAATAGAGTTGCTACCAAAATTCTGCCTCCAGTGAAATTCAAAGTGACTTTGGAGGTTCCTCCAAGATATTGAGAGAAGCAAATAACTAGTGAAATGTCTCAGGCTGCGGGTGGCATCTTTTGACAAGCTAAAGGTGTGTGTCCTACAATGAAATTCAAAGTGAATTTGGGGGTTTCTCCTCTTAGGCAAACTTAAGAGGCCAAACTGGTCAACGATTTCCAAGGGAAACCAAAATGTCTGTCAACTCACACCCCTAAATGATGGCATATTGACAAATTACTCTTTATTATGATATAATTTTGAAGAACTGCCATTGCCACTAATGTCTCCTCTGCCTTCTTTTCGACCTGCAGATTCCACAGGCCATAGAGGTTTTCTTCTGAGAAGAATTTGTCTACTTTTTTGATACCACTACTGAACATGCATCAGGGAAAGGATGAAGGTCTTTCCTTGAGGTTCAGTCTATGACAAGCTGATGTTTCGCGTTCAAGAAGGGACTCTGCAGAGTCGGTCTCTGCAGCACACACTTAAAAGGGAGCAGCTAGCAGAGGATGGACTTCGCCTCGGAGCTACAACAACACCTGCTGGGTGGGAGGATTAGCTGGAAATGACTGAAGTCGAGCTCATCAAAAAGGAACCCATTGCTCTCCTTTGTTACTTGTTATTAAACTGTATTGCAGCATATCTTGGGAAAGGAGATGTTGTGCATGTACAGGCTTTTTTACCATTCCAAGGCCTCTGACATAAAGGACATGGTGCACATCATCATTCAGTATTATCATGGTGACAAGACATCTGGAACTTATCACAATTAGTTTGTATAAAACACTTAATTTCATGTTATACAAATTGATTTACTATATTATGGTTTCTTTCCTTTTTTTATATATGTCTAACAAAACACAGCTGCGGCGTTTTTTTGGGGGGGGGGCTCCTGTTATTCTTATTTTCTTTAATTAAATGATTACTTACTGCAGAAAACAGATCCGCAGTTTTCCATGTTTGGTGGTATTTAGCAGGGGAGAGGGGAACTTAGAAGAAAAGATCTTATCTCAGTTTCTTCCCATCTTTCACAGATTCTATGATTACTGCTGGGATAGCTCAGTCAGTAAAGCATGAGACTCTTAATTCGGGGTTGTGGGTTTGAGCCCCGCTTTGGGGCAATAGATTCCTGCATTGCAGCAGGTTAGATGATCCCCGTGGTCCCTTCCAACTCTACAATTCTAAGTAGATTTCTCTAAAATGAAGACTTCCTGGAAGAGGATCTCAGGCTACATAAAGAAGTGCCCCAATACGGGATGGCACTGGTGCAATTTGTAGCTACTGGGGGGGGGGGGAATCCTTCCTTTAGTACTTTTATATCTCACTTTCCATCATGGAATACAAAACAGTGTACAGTAGTACCTTGGGTTACATACGCTTCAGGTTACATATGCTTCAGGTTACAGACTCCGCTAACCCAGAAATAGTGCTTCAGGTTAAGAATTTTGCTTCAGGATGAGAACAGAAATCGTGCTCTGGCGGCACGGCAGCAGCAGGAGGCCCCGTTAGCTAAAGTGGTGCTTCAGGTTAAGAACAGTTTCAGGTTAAGTACGGACCTCCGGAATGAATTAAGTACTTAACCCGAGGTACCACTGTAAACTGAGTTGAACTCACTTATGGAATTGAGCTTTGTTGCACAAAGCAGTCGGGAATCACTGACATGCATCCCACTTCTATATGCATTTGTGGATGTGGCAGGGGTGCAGCAATTGCCATGCCACATTCCAAGTCCTTGTGTGCTGACTAATGATGCCTCGGAGCAGATTCATCTAGTCACATATAACAACCCAGCCAGAAACGAATTGAACCTAGTAAATTTTCTATGTCCTTGAGACCACAAAAACAGCTGATCAGCAGCAATACATTACCAGTTGGCCTGAATTAAGGCATGAAAAATAAGCCATAGGGGGGGAAATTTGATACAACATATTGTAAAATCATACCATTTACTGAATTAATCTACTGGAATAATTTTATTTGACTCTCTGCTACTCACCCTCGAGGACAAGTGTTCAACTAAATAACTATGTTGGTCTTTATGTGCACGAGTAATTCCCTTCCCTAATAATGTGATTGATGGCCAATCATTCCTTTTAAAAACAACGGATTTTATGGTGCATTTAAGTGCCTGCTGAACAGTTCTGTTTTCCTTCCACACAATTTATTTTAATTGGGAGCACTGCAGTGCAAAAATAAATGAATAACAATAATAAAAATCCCTACAGGATACTATGTATTGAAATCACAGCCGACAAAATCCTTTTGATGTATTAATGATGGATCTTCCCAATTCATGGCTTGTTACAAAGTGTAAAAACAACAGTCTCCTGAACATTTAAACATTGAGCACAGTATCATGGACACGGAGAACTACTGGGCCGTATGCTGTAGCCACACTTGCACAACAGAACTTCCTCTCCCTCTCCCCTGTACACCCTCAAAATTGGGACCAGAAGATCCCACAATTCTCACTGCAGCAGTGGATGCTTTTCTCTGTCACTGCCCTTTCCTGGGTCTAGTCATGTGTTTCGAGATTTTGTAAAAATGTAAAGTTTAATAACTTAAGCCAAATCAATCACGTTCTCATGCAAGCACAACGGCCTGCATGGCCTAATAGATAGTTGATGCTGTCAGCTTAGACAGTGCCAGGCAGCATTTGAGTAGGAAGAAGAGGGTCTGCATTTCGTCTCTCGCCATCTCGAGCAGGCACAAACAGCTCCGTAGGTTAGATGTAGGTTTCGTCCCTCATACTCTTGTGAACACAAGTATATTTCCAAATGTGGACTGCTCAAGAGGTGAAGGAAGTATACAATGTATATTATTATAATTCACATAAATGAGAGAAAGTGTGTTTTCAAAAAATAGCAAATTCACTTATACATCTTGTCAGTTCCAAGACGTACTCTCCAGTAAATCAATTAGGTTGGTAAGAATAAAATCTCACGAGGACCACCTAGTGAGGATAAGAAGCAACTGCATTTAAGAGGACAGCATTTTCCAATGAACAGGAAAAAAATCACATAAAGATCTATCTCACAAGTTAGAGAAGTGGACTGTTAGCTGATCAAAGAATTCTTAGTTGGTTTATCATCAGCCTTGGAAAAGATTAATACTTTTACATCTGAATAAATGAAAGCTATCATTCAATATTTGAAAGAAAAGCAATACTTAATGTTGGCTGTTTGCTATTACAGTTAATGCATCAGAACTAAAATAGCCTCCAGCTTGAGGACAAAATCACCGACCTCCACCTAAACTCAAGAGCTGCTGTTGACACAGTAGCTCTTAAGATGCCCAATTTTGTCAGTTTGTAGGGTCAGTTTGTTTTGATTTCGGAGGATGAGGACAAGACGTTTGCAGCTGTGCAGGGCACAGTGCTACATGCTCTCTCAACCTACTGCATGCTCATTCATGTCAGCCATGGAGGGTTGGTTGGGTGAATACAGGGTGTAGGTAAGTTTTTGTTGCATTTCAAGTGGTCACCGCTGCCTCGAAGGTGTTGGTTTGGCTGCTCCTTAAAAAAACGCCAGAGCCAGAGGTTGATGCCAACTACTGCCCTGTCACAAATGCAACTTTTCTGGGCAAGGGATAGTGGGGTTGTGGTTCAGCTGCAGATGCTTTTGGATAAAATTGATTGCCTTCACCCATTGTTGTCTAGGTTCAGGTCCAGTTTGGGGCTTTGTCACTCTAATGGATGGCATTCTTGGAGAGGAACAAGGGGAATGTGACCCTGTTGATTCTACAGAATATCTCAATGTGGTTTATTTTATATATAGAGAGAGAGCATTTGCCAAGGGCTTGGTTCAAGAGAGTAATATTGAGTGACTGTATCTCAGCCCCTGACCCCACTTTGATATGTGTGGAATTACAATACATACTTTCCACCCAATGCATATAATATGTATATAAACCACTGGGGATGGTAAGTAGAAGACTGGGTGCAAGGTGACCCCAGCATGCTGACAACACCCAGCTGGACGTCTGCAAAATCTGAATCAGGAGCAGTCCTAAATCAGTTCCTGGGTGCAGTCCTGAGAGCTAAAAAACTATAAATGAAGATGGAGACAAGATAGAGAACATATGGATGGGCAGTTACCAGGTAACTGGGAGCAGGTGCACAGATCTATCACTGTCCAGGTGACATCAACAGCTTGGAGTACCCATTACCTTTTTCATTTAGTGCGCCACCAACAACTGTTCCTAGACAGTGATAGCCTTGCCGCGGGAGCCCATATATTGCTAACCTCACAATGTAATGTGCTGTGTATGGGCTACTGTTTGGAAGCTGCATGTAGTGTGAAGCATAGCTGCTAGGGTGCTTATTGGTACACCTGGCTTTACACATATCACACCAGCATTAAAGATACAAAGTGGATGCCTATTAGCTACCAAGCAAAGTTCAAGATTTTGCAGTGCGCATTTACAATACAATCTGGGAGGGAGAAGGATAACTAGGAGACTGTCTTTGCCAGTACAGAGAAAGATCTTTAATATTTAATGCTGGCTGTTCTATGACCAGCAGAGTGTCATGTGTTAACACTGTGGAAGCAAGCCTTCTGTGTGATACCACACCTTTGAAATGCCCTCCCTTTAGTAATTTGTAAGGTAGAGACCCAAATGACCTTTAAATGCCTCTTAAAATCTTGTATGTTTACCCAAGCTTTCTTGGAGTCCAACTCTTAATGCGGGGGGGGGGGGGTTCATGCACTGCTCAGCTGTTCATTTTTAGGAAATACTGTTTTCATGCAAACCACTTAAGAGATTTTGACAATATTAAGCAGTAGAATTTAAAAAAATAAATAACCGTAAATAAACACGGGAGAAGATACGGTTAGAATCTGCAATAGCAAATTCCGATTCTGTAAAATTCAGTATATGGAATATTTATATCTCCCAAGTAGCTACATACGTTGACTACCTGTTTTTCAAAAGCCAAGCCACGGACCCCCTTATTTTGGGAATTTTGATATATCTATGGTAGTTTTTGCTATGTGAATGGTGCTTCCAAGGAGCACCAACTGGGAACCTTTATTCAATAGAACTGCAGTAAATGAGATGTATGTGGATTCCTTTATATCACTGGCTCAAGGTGGTGGAAAAAGGGTTAACGGTTTGCTTCTACTGATATTTTGCAGAATCTATTTTAATTTTCTAAAATGTACATTTTTGTAATTTTAACTATACATTCCCAAAACAGTTAATGAACACATTTAGAAATGTTTGGGTTATAAGAAATTCCAGCTGGAAGCTAAGATAACTTGGATTAAACTTGCATGAACACCATCTAATTTCTCTTTAACTGCTACAGAATTTCTAATTACAGACTGTATTTTGCAATGCATACATATGATCTCTCCTATTTTCAATAGTAATATTAACTTATCCAAAGACCTAATTTCTTTGCTCATCATATGGGAAGTTTTTAAAAAAGTACAGTTAATTCTTGGTTAATCAGGATTTAATCACAGCTAATTTTAAAGAATTGGCCCCATTCCAGCTAAATTAACTCATGACTAACTTAAGCTGGGCATTGTATTTTAGAAAAATCCCTCGATTATTGGCATTCCTTTTAGAACACAATTTCTTTTAAAAGCAAAACATCACTTAACATAAAAATACTTTATCTACATAAATTACAATTATGATAAATATCATTTTCATGTAAATTGTTTGCTGTCTATAATTACATCCAATCAACAAGTAGAAACCCCATTACAGAAATGATGGGTCACTCACATTACCAAAATGCAATACAAACATGTTGTCTCTTTTAACTTGTTGCATTTACATCATAAACCATGTTAGAAGTTTTTATCTTCTACCATAAAGAGTGACTGTAGTCCTTTGCGAACATTAAGCAATTCTTCTTCATGCTGTGGAAAAAAAGTCATTACGTTAGGTTTTCTTTCTTTTAAAATAATTTAACAAAAGAACTTTGTTTTAAATTAATGTACAATGAAGATATAATTTTATTTTTACCATTTCCTTAAGGAATTTTTCTTGGAGCCCCTTCATGTCATCTTTCATTAGCTGCATCTAAAATAAAACAAAAAAATTGGTGTATTTTCACTTTTTAATTTCGACTAAAGCTGCAGAAAGCAAAGTTAAACCAAATGACTCTATAGTTTTTCTGAAATTCTTAGAGCTCCTGTGCTGAGACAGCACAGCTGGAAGATTGCCACTTGTCAGGCAACTAAGGCATCAGAAGTCCGAAGCCATCTTCTTGCAGTTTCAAAATAGGTTCCCTCATTCTCCTTTGCCTTTCTGCGGCCCTCCATGCACATCAGTTAAACGATGAGTGGAGAACCTTTGGTCCCATAGATGCTTTCTGGGACTCAGCAACACCTAGAGTGCCAGAGGTTCCCCACACCTAATATCAAACATCAGAATTAAACTAGGAAGCAAGCATCTCTGCTAGCAAAGGTTTCTATGAGAAAATTACCCAGAAGAGGCCACCTACCATGTTTCACTGTTGTGGGTGTCTGCAAGGCTAAGTTAGCTTGTCTGCTGACTGGTAGCAAGCAAGTGACCCAACACGGAGGTGGGTCATAATCTCTGCTGCAACTCTTTTTCAGAATGATTCAGAACTCCAAACACATGGTAGAACTGGGGCAGAATTACTGTATTTTTCGCTCTATAACACGCACCAGACCATAACACGCACGTAGTTTTTAGAGGAGGAAAACAAGAAAAAATATATTCTAAACGAAGTAGTGGATATATGATTTTTGTGGTTCATGCTGTGGCCACAGACATGTGATCTGACAATGAGTTTGGAGTAGCCCAATGCAAAAATCCTGAGGATCCATGTGGATCCATGCTTTGTAACCATGGAGGAAGGAAGGAAGGGGAACCATGGATCCTCTGCTCACGACTGCAGCAGATCCCCCCCGCCACCCGCAGGCATTTGCTCCATAACACGCACAGACATTTCCCCTTACTTTCTAGGAGAAAAAAGTGAGTGTTATGGTGCAAAAAATACGGTATTTGCTGCCAGCAGAGATTCATTGAAAGGAAGCAAAGCCAAAGCCACAAGTCACACAGGGAGCTACTTTTGTGGATGCATATGCTGGTCTCACAAATGCCTTTAATTACTTAATGAGCCACGTACCACATGTGGGCTTGCCTTGGATCAGTTGCACCCTTCTAAACAACAGGGGAAGGCAGAATTCAGTGCTCCTGCTCAACTGCACTAACTCTGGAAATATGAGAAGCAGGAGCCTGGGGAAGGCTTCGTGTCATAATAGCAGAGTAGGTGTTATAGGAGTATTCCAGACATTATGTTTTTAACAGGTACTAGCAAAATTCAACACAACACATTGTTGGCAACCGTCTGTCTTGAAAGACAATGAAATACACTTCTGGGGGCAAAGTTGTGGCTGCAGAGAATGGTAACTTGTAACAACTGCCTCCTGTGTTGTTTTTGCTGTGTTTTTGCACTGAAGTGACCTCCCTGGGAAGCAAGCCCAGGCAATGTGTATGGAGGTCCTGGGCTGCCCACATGACAGTATCTCTCTCAGCCTCGCTGATATGGTCCAAAGGAAAGCAGAGCAATACATTTGGCACCAGCTTGGCTGCTGGCTTACAAGACACCATTCAACCATCTTAGGAACTCCACTCCAGGTTTATGCAGGCTTTATTCCTTTTCTCAAACATGTCCTGAAATACAGTTTGTATGGATTTTTCCTTGGGGGGGGTCACTCCAGAAGTCTTTCTCACAGATAAGTATATCCACAAGGTAGCAGAGGTTTAGGATCAGAGTTTCCCTTCTCCTAGATGGGCTACCTTTCCAGTTTGACAATTTCCAGTCTGCCCAATTCCCTCTACAGCATGTGCAGAAACTGCCTTCTTGATTATTTGGCTCACTATTGATCTCATCCACTCAATCCACCAGAGCCTGTCTTCAAATGCAGGGAAGCCCCTAACTCATTGAGGATTTGAGATGCATTGGCTACCTCATTTGGTTTAGCTGGCCAGTCAAAGCCATTTCCTGGGGTGTGGCCACTGTTGCATGCTGACAGCTTCTAGGAGCCACAGGTGAGGGCTTAACAAAACAAACACATGTATACAGTGGTGCCTTGGGTTAATAACTTAATTCGTTCTGGAGGTCCGTTCTTAACCTGAAACTGTTCTTAACCTGAAGCACCACTTTAGCTGCCGCCGTCGCCACGTGATTTCTGTTCTCATCCTGAAGCAAAGTTCTTAACCCGAGGTACTATTTCTGGGTTAGCGGAGTCTGTAACCTGAAGCGTATGTAACCCAAGGTACCACCGTAGTAGTAATACACATAACCAGGAAGCTGTGGCTGTCCTCAGCGACCTGTTGCATTTACTACCTGCAGAAAACACATGACTTATTCAGTCAACCTAGACTGCTGTACTGGTACACCGATTCTCAGGAAAGGTCTAGAATTCATATTTACGACATCACCCAATTAGCTACTGTTGAAATTGGTCCTTGAATTATTTTACTTAATTCTATTTTTTAAAAATAGATTTAGGCCCCCTTTAAGGATAAAACCTTTTCAAGGCAGCATATGAGCCACTTTCTAAAAACAATGTAGACACAAGATTATTACTGGAAGGAGAACTCCACCATGAGAGGGCTTTTGTATTTTTCATATGTATTGAGTCTTGTTGGGTATATCTTTTGGGATGTTTATAGTCAGGCATTAAAAGCGGTACACTGTAACTGCTTCCCTTCTGTCAAGCAGGAGGAGAAATTACATACCTCAGATGTAAAAATGCTTTCCTCAACGTCAGCAGTATGGTACATGTTCTTTTCGAATGAAGTTTTAAGATTCTGAAACCTAAGAGAATATAGATCAAAAGACCATTTAAGTAACTTTGCTTTGACACAGGGAAAAAACTTGTCCTCACAAGCATCATGTACTCCTATGTAACATTAAAAGTAGTTGCAACAACAAAGATGCAGTGCTCTGTTGTGCTCCAATAATAAGAAAGCACACTAACCTCTGTTGCTCATTTTTCTTGTAGGTAGTAAATGTTTCAAAATGCTTCTTTGAAAAGTTCTGCAAATAAAATAAAATAAAAAATCAGTATAAGAAATCCTTATTTTCACATGTGAAACAAGCCTTGATTTATTTATTTTGGCTCTTACTATTAAAATCTGTTGTTTTAACACTATATTATGTTGCTAATTGTGGGGTGCAGGTGGCGCTGTGGGTTAAACCACAGAGCCTAGGGCTTGCCGATCAGAGGGTTGGCGGTTCGAATCCGCATGACGGGGTGAGCTCCAGTTGTTCGGTCCCAGCTCCTGCCAACCTAGCAGTTCGAAAGCACGTCAAAGTGCAAGTAGATAAATAGGTACCACTCCATCGGGAAGGTAAACGGCATTTCCGTGTGCTGCTCTGGTTCGCCAGAAGTGGCTTAGTCATGCTGGCCACATGACCCGGAAGCTGTCTGCAGACAAACACCAGCTCCCTCGGCCTATAGAGCGAGATGAGCGCGCAACCCAAGTCATCTGCGACTGGACCTAACGGTCAGAGGTACCTTTACCTAAGACCCAGGGAAAGGCCTGTAATAAAGTGATAGCCTGCTAGTAGCAAATGTTCATTCACGAACACTGAAAAGAATAAACTATTAGAATGTACGGTGACCATTCTATGAATGAAAAGAGGATCGGCTAGGCATGACAATTGTGATTAATCTTGAACTGTTTTTTAGACAGATGAAAGCAGATATTGGGAGACATTTAATGAATAGGAACATTAGTCAAAGTCTTAATAAAGACACTGAAAAATTATTATATGTAATTACATAAAATCATCATGAGGGCTGATCTGAAAGCTAAAAGATTTTGATTGGTTCTGGATGACGACATTGAGTGGCAAATGCTAAGATTGCTGCGATCCTTTAAGCAGTGAATGGAAATAATGTGTATAATCTGGAAGTGTGCAAGAGAAATTGCTTTGGCTGTGATCCTTTGCAGCCTCCTAATCTTTGCAGCCTCCTAATCTTTGAGACTGTCCCTATGCTCATTTGTATTTCAATAAAGGGCTATCTTCTGACTTGGCGCCTGCATCTTTTTCTGTTAGGCTTCCGGGAGGGATACCTCCAGTCTAGGAAGCCCTTTTAAATTTCTCCATGTTCATAAGTACTTTTAAATGCCCTACATTCAAATCTCAGCAAGTAATTCAAGTAGTTTAATATTTCTGTGAGTAGAAACACCTACTGAGAAGTCTTTCTCCATATTTCTCAAGGCCTGTGAATCTTTTTCAAAACATTCAAGCTCTTTCATGAGACAGGAATGAAGATGTTCCAGCTGTTTGGTCCTGCAAAAATACAAAGAAAAAGAAAAATACACAATACATGCAACAGAACATTCATTTTTGAGCAATTACAGTGGTGCCCCGCAAGACGAATGCCTCGCAAGACGAAAAACCCGCTAGACGAAAGGGTTTTCCGTTTTTGAGTTGCTTTGCAAGACAATTTTCCCTATGGGCTTGCTTCGCAAGACGAAAACGTCTTGCAAGTCTTGTGATTTTTTTTCGCTCCCCCCCCCTTTTTCTAAGCCGCTAAGCCGCTAATAGCCTTTTAGCCGCTAAGCCTTTAATAGCCGCTAAGCCGCTAATAGCGCTAATCCGCTAATAGGGTTGCTTCGCAAGACGAAAAAACTGCTAGACGAAGAGACTCGCGGAATGGATTATTTTCGTCTTGCGAGGCACCACTGTATTCAATACACACCTGCACTTATGTAACTCACTACTCATTGCATCCAAATGCTGGTGAGTTGTTTTCAATGACTGCTTTGTAAAATTGTCCATTCTCTTTGAGCGGCTCTAAAAACAGAAGAGAAAACAAAAATTATGTCCTGTCAATTCCCACCCCTTCCATATAAGATCCACACACCATTCCTCCTGAAAGGTTTCCCAAAACGATGCTTTAAAAACCAGAACTCTGAAAAAAATATACTCCAGCTGCCATTTTAAAAGATTGCATGAAAGCAAAGTGACAGATTTATCCCCTGGAAGCATTTCATAAGCAATGACAAGCACATGGAAGGCCAGAATATTCTGTACTAGAACACAGACAATGAATTCTCTTTTCTCTCTTTACCCTGGCCTTTGACATCTGAGATGTGCCTTTTCAGAGCCTATCCTACTCCTGTGATTGTAATCTGCATTAACTGTTTGAATTTTAAATTGTTGCAACCTGCTCGGTCACCTGCTGGTGAAAGGCAGGTAACAAATTTAGTAACAACAATTCCGCTTACCCTCTTTGGTGGGTGGCATGGTGGCATCCCACTGCACCCAGCCACCTCAGCCAGATCCCCAGGAAGCAGTTAGAAGCTCTCCCGCTGGCCAGGGGGAAAGGTAGAATTGAATCCAGTCGTAGATTGGCCAATAGCAGCTAGACCAAGGGATTCACTCAGATCTGCTCCCAGGGTATTTAAAGAGTGCAGTCTCCATGCCTGGCACTATGGTCTTGTTGGATCTTTCACTCGCCCTCCCTACAGTTAAACAGCATCCTACCCACCATGGGGGGTTAATACGATTTTGAGCTTGCTATGGATTACGATCAGTTGCTGTATTCGGGGCTGGGGGGGGGGGCGTTTGTCCTTCAGGTCAATTGGCTGACCTGGGGGTTTCACCTACCTCATAGCAATTGTCACAACTTTGGCGGTTAAGGCATTGGGTTAAGTGCAAGCTGGATTTAGAAGAGGCAGAGGAACCAGAGACCAAATTGCAAACATGCGCTGGATTATGGAGAAAGCTAGAGAGTTCCAGAAAGACATCTACTTCTGCTTCATTGACTATGCAAAAGCCTTTGACTGTGTTGACCACAGCAAACTATGGCAAGTTCTTAAAGAAATGGGAGTGCCTGATCACCTCATCTGTCTCCTGAGAAATCTCTATGTGGGACAAGAAGCTACAGTTAGAACTGGATATGGAACAACTGATTGGTTCAAAATTGGGAAAGGAGTACGACAAGGCTGTATATTGTCCCCCTGCTTATTTAACTTATATGCAGAATTCATCATGCGAAAGGCTGGGCTGGATGAATCCCAAGCCGGAATTAAGATCGCCGGAAGAAATATCAACAACCTCAGATATGCAGATGACACAACCTTGATGGCAGAAAGTGAGGAGGAATTAAAGAACCTTTTAATGAGGGTGAAAGAGGAGAGCGCAAAATATGGTCTGAAGCTCAACATCAAAAAAACGAAGATCATGGCCACTGGTCCCATCACCTCCTGGCAAATAGAAGGGGAAGAAATGGAGGCAGTGAGAGATTTTATTTTCTTGGGCTCCATGATCACTGCAGATGGTGACAGCAGTCACGAAATTAAAAGACGCCTGCTCCTTGGGAGAAAGGCGATGGCAAATCTAGACAACATCTTAAAAAGTAGAGACATCACCTTACCAACAAAGGTCCGTATAGTTCAGTGTTTCCCAACCTTGTGCCTCCAGCTGTTTTTGAACTACAACTCCCATCATCCCTGACTAGCAAGACCAGTGGCAAGGGATGATGGGAATTGTAGTCCAAAAACAGCTGGAGGCACAAGGTTGGGAAACACTGGTTAAAGCCATGGTTTTCCCAGTAGTGATGTATGGAAGTGAGAGCTGGACCATAAAGAAGGCTGATCGCCGAAGAATTGATGCTTTTGAATTATGGTGCTGGAGGAGACTCTTGAGAGTCCCATGGACTGCAAGAAGATCAAACGCATCCATTCTTAAGGAAATCAGACCTGAGTGCTCACTGGAAGGACAGATCGTGAAGTTGAGGCTCCAATACTTTGGCCACCTCATGAGAAGAGAAGACTCCCTGGAAAAGACCCTGATGTTGGGAAAGATGGGGGGCACAAGGAGAAGGGGACGACAGAGGATGAGATGGTTGGATAGTGTTCTCGAAGCTACCAACATGAGCCTGACCAAACTGTGGGAGGCGGTGGAAGACAGGAGTGCCTGGCGTGCTCTGGTCCATGGGGTCACGAAGAGTCGGACACGACTAAACGACTAAACAACAACAAGACTTCTGCCTACCCCATCAAGGGATGTTAAAGGGATCCTGGAGGAGGTGCTCCTGTCAAGATGCCCATTCGGGGGCTGGGGCCACTGCACTCCTCAAAAGGCAGTCTTGGTGGGGCAGTACCTATTTAATGAATGTCATAGGGCTCCCTCACCAATGATTTACCCCTGAGGAGAATCAACCAACAGGCAGGATTTGGCCTGAGCCAAAGCCACTTACATATGTAATCAATAAAGCTGTGGCCGGATTTGAACCAAAACGATTGTTGTTACAAGTGGTCATTTAACACTGCTGCAAGGTGGCGGATTACAGTGCCTGGGCATGCAACAATAATGATATTTATAGAGGACTTCTTCGAGAGCAGGATAACTTCTGCCGCTATCTGGATTATCACCATTTGTAATCAAAAGCAACCCACAAGTCTATATGTACCCTTCTTCTTAACAAGACTAAATATTCTACCAATAAAAGGTGTGTGATATTAGGGATAAATAAAAAAGACTCGCCTGTGTTTTCCTGGCAAACTCCTTGCAAACCTTCTGACACATCATCCCTACACCTGAACTGTCAGCACCCCAGATTTCTCCATCAAATGTAGACGCATCATTGATGGACAAAGGAGACATGCTCTCAGAAACTAAAAAATAAAAAAAATTATGTATCATGATTCAGATGCCATCTATTGTATACTCCTATCAATATGGATGCACTTCCTAAGAGATATAGTGCTTATTCAAATAACTTCAATGACTGCCCCTCCCCATATGAACTGATTCAGACCCTGCAATCATAATCTGAGGCCCTTCTTTGTGTGTCCACTCCATGAGGTCTGGAGGGTGGCAACATGAAGATGGGCCTTTTCCGCAGTGATTCCTCATTTGTAGACTGCTCTCCCCAGGGAGGCTCACCTGGCGCATTCATTGCATATTTTCAGGCATCAGGCAAAAACTTTCCTCTATAACCAGGCCTTTGGCTTTTAACCACCTGTGGCCTTTTAGAAGTGGATCTTTTTTAATGTATTTGTTTTCTCCTTTGGTTATAATGTATCTATGTGGGTATTTTTGTTTGTGTGGTTGGTTGTAAGTTTCTTTGGGCTGCCCTGGGCAAGATAAAGTGACTAACAAAATAAGTAAATAAATAAAATCTTAACTAACAGCAACCTAAACACTGTTTCACACGCAGCAATTTATCGGGCTACGCATATACGGTATATGGATAAAGTGTAAATATCATGCAAATGTTAAATTGTTACATTGTTAGAAATGTTACATTAATGACCTCAATGCATGGTGCCATACATATCAATCCAAGACCTGATCAAGCCCACACCTGCTTAGCTTCAATGTTACCCTAAGCCAATTTTGTTACCATATCCCCATTTTGGAAACATATTGCCAATCGTGACTTTCCAACATATGTATACATTATGAAATAGATGGGTATGTTACCATCACACATAGAAGCAAGTTTCCCCCCTTATATTCATATAGAAAAACTATCATATGAAAAGCATCCAATAGAGCCTCTGTAGAAGTTCAAAGTAGAGAAAAAAAGCTAATACTGCTATGCTCTTCAACAAAATTTGCTGGAAAATTCCAATTATCAACTTGTATTTGCCGAAGATGTTGTTCCACCTTTCATCATAAGGTGGCACTGTATATCAGAAGCATTTGACAAAGACTTGGATAGAGAATTGGACTTTCTAATTCTAAAGTATTCCTCTTGCAAGAAGAGGAGTGTGTGTTTGATGAAACTGACTTTTGCAACAATTCTTTAATCTTGTAGTAAACCATTCTTAGGTTTTCATTTTGAATTGTAACCATTCACGATGTATTACGATAACCACAGCTGTGAGTGTAATCTATGTATCTCACATGATGCTACGATGTAAAAATATATATTAAGAAAACATGCATGCACTGCAACAGCGATGGTCAGAGCAAGACAGAGTTACAAGCTCTTATATAGTTTCTGACACTTCCTGTCAAATAAGGAGGAGACACTTAATTCACAGTAAGTTTCTTCCCTATGAACAGAGACTTCCAGTTGGGATTCCATAACTACTTTACGAATACCCAAGGGCCTTAGAACTTCCAGTGCCCCCCCCCCTTTTATTTCAACTGAATAAAACTGCTTTAGAAACTCTGCCCAGTTTCAGAAGCCATATAGCTGGGTGTGTGGGATAAATATATGTTCAGAGCCTCCATGAGCTAAAAACTAGTTGAGTGGTTCTTCAGATCCCAACCTTTATTATTTTACTTAAATGCCTTTTAATATTACAGATGAAATGACTGAGATGGGAAAGTTGAGATGTGTGTACATTTTACACCATTTCAAAGAGCAACTCCAGCTGACCTTTACAAGTGCTACTATCTGCTTTAAATAACTTTCTAGGGAGCAGCTTTCTTTTTCTTCCCTCTCTTTTAACTCCTTCTTCATCAGAATCACTTTCAGTATCCTCCTGGTACAATCGTTTGAAATTAGTATGTATTGTAGGTCCTAAGACAATATTTAAACAAATGTTATAAACCACAGCAATAAAGTACAGCATTATACAGTTGTGCTCAATTCAATACCTAAACAGCATGTAAGGGTGTGCATATCACAAGACACAGAAGTGCTACATAATTTATTTCTGCAGCTCCTTGGAGCTCAAAAAGTTCATTATATTTAGTTTGCCATGAGAAAGGGGGCATATAGCAGTATTCTGACAAGAAAGAAAGTGCCCTCGGGAATAATGTAATGATTTGCAATCATCCACTTAGAAACTTAGCGAGCCCCAATTTTCAAACAATATGCAGCTACTTGTTTTCTCAGACCATGTAAAATAGACAGCAAGAAATTAAAGACTTTCCATTGTCTATATAGCAAACTACAGATCTGCTGTTTATCTTTTTTTTCAGAAAGCAAAATTTACAAACCAGATTTATGTGTGTTAGTAAGAGGTTCCGCATGCCATAGTTCTTCCTCACTTTTGTTAGGCGTGGATAATTGAGATGGAGATACAGAACCCTAAAAATAGTTGCATAACGTTAACCAAATGTTAAACCAATTTGTAAGATTACCTTAGATTAAGCTAACATGTGAATATTTAACAGTCAACATAAATGAAAAATTGCCAAAAATACAGTTGCTCCAATACTTTAAAATTAATTTTCAACAGTTACACTAATGTGCTTTAGAAACATATGGCACAATCCAGCTACAGTTAAGCACTTTTAAATTCTATAAAATACTTAAATATCTCTCATTGAAATAATTGGAACTAAAAAATGTTGGCTGGATTGTGTCCTGTGAGGCCCTGCTCAGATTCCCTTGTATTCAATAGGGCTCACTCCTTAGCAATTGTGTTTAGAATTTCAGTCCAAATGTAGCTTTAAAAAGTATGGGATGTAGAAATAAATGTTTGCTGGGCTTATAAATTCCAAAGGCAAATAGCAAACAGTTTGTGCCTTTCATAAAAACAGGGGAAAATGTAGTATAGTATTTAGAATTTGCATTGGCCTATTCTTTTTGACTGTTTCCACAACAAAATGTTCAATCTGAAACAATGAAGAAATGTATTTTCAAAAAACAATAACTACAAGAATAAAAGAACAGTAACTACAAGAACAATAACTATATTAACAACAGCAAAAGAGAACTATTTCCCCACCAAACGCAACAATTGCATTGGATATGACATACCTCTTTTCCATTTTTCACAAGGTTTTCAGAAAGATCTTTCAGTTCTATATCAGATGATCTGTTTAAAGAGTAATTTTGTATGCTAGTTCCATATTTGTCTGCTACATCTGCTTTTTGGACACTGGTGCCTTTTCTTTTTGTAGTGGAGGGACTAAGCTTCAGCTACAAAGGAAAATGGTTTTTGGTAAATACACATGCAGATTTTTCCAGTGTGTAAGATCACTAAAGGTTGCAACCTTAAGAAAACTGTTAACAGAGAAGCTTGGTTCAGTCAGAATTTTGCACATGCCTTGGAACTACATTCTGAATGGCTCTGAGCAATGACTGCAGTACTATTTGAAGTAACATAGAAGGCAACATTGGTTTAAGCGGACTTTATCTCATAGTGTCAGCTGTGAACAGAAAGGATAGTACAGAACCTTTGTAGTATCTTATGCAAGCATACACATATTCAGACCTGGGGCCTTCCTCCAGTAAGTATATTCCAACAATAACTAGATTACATCTAAATTTGCATTTCCTGGGAAAGTGCCACCTCCCTTCATCATGAGAGACACCTCAATAACCTGATGCTGTTTTTGAATTGTCCAGAGACCTCTTGAAACCTTCCTGTCACTCTGCAGTGGGAAAGTTGTATTGATATGTCTGGTAATGACTCAGTACTTGGAAATAATTAACACTCAATATCGCTTCTGTCTAGAACTGTCTTTAGGCCTGACAGGAAGCTTCTTTCCTGTAAATGCATATCTTGCTGATCCCCAAACTGTTCAGCCTTTTGCCCAGAATACAGCTCTGCTCTAAAAGGTAAAGGTACCCCTGCCCGTACGGGCCAGTCTTGACAGACTCTGGGGTTGTGCGCCCATCTCACTCAAGAGGCCGGGGGCCAGCGCTGTCCGGAGACACTTCCAGGTCACGTGGCCAGCGTGACAAGCTGCATCTGGCGAGCCAGCGCAGCACACGGAACGCTGTTTACCTTCCCGCTGGTAAGCGGTCCCTATTTATCTACTTGCACCCGGGGGTGCTTTCGAACTGCTAGGTTGGCAGGCGCTGGGACCGAGCAGCGGGAGCGCACCCCGCCGTGGGGATTCGAACCGCCGACCTTTCGATCGGCAAGCCCTAGGCACTGAGGCTTTTACCCACAGCGCCACCCGCTCTGCTCTACTCTGCTCTATTTCAAACCTGCTCCAATGGATGCTGGTAGGAGCCTCCTTCAACCTTGGCTAGATTTCTTATTCTTGCCTTCCTGCTCCTCAACCAAATGTGCTATTTTATTTGGAATTAGTCAGGCCCCTTGTGGGAAGCTCAAGCCAATTGTTCCAAAAGGAAAGCTTTTTCTAATTCTGGAACTGTATCAGGCAGGTTCTTATCAGTCTTCCCATCCTGACTTAAGCAGGTTGAGAGCCTTCTAAGAGAGCACAGGAACTTTACTTTGCAAGCTTAATGTAATTGTAAATACCCCAAGACAAATCAAATGAATTGATGCCAGGAACCCTGGACTCAGTTGTGACCATGTCACTGCAGGTCAAGGTGAAATTCAAGAAACGATGTCTCCTTAACTCTTCCTTCCCTGGGATGTAATTATTAAGGTCACAGGACATGTAATATGGGTTTGGGTAGTCTGTGCAACTTGTAACAACTGTCTTGCTTCTTTACATATCTGTATTGGTACTTCAAGCAGCAAAGCCATTTTACTTATCACTTGCCACTTGTAGCTACATCTTTGTTTTCTTGATAATTCCCCTAATTAAGAAAGACTGTGTTGGCATTTCTAAATTGATAGTAGCATAGTGCAATAACCACTGTGGTGTGCGACTGTCTCCAGATAAAAATAACTCAAAGTTGTGTCTCCATTAACATGTGGTAGATGAGGGTCCACATGTATGTGTGAACAGACTTATGAGCAAATTCAGTAGTAGGCAGGGGGTAAGCCCACTGAACCCAATGCGGCTTACCTTACCAAATATGCTTACGACTATGCTGCAAGTATATATGGAAAATCAGATTAATCAAATAAAAAAATGAAAACACCATAGGAAAAAAATCACTCCCTTCCTTATATACATATACACAATATACATATATTGTGACCACACAATATACATATATTGTGACCACTAGAAGGAGAAATGAGATTATAGGCTTTTCTATACTGTATGTTACATCATTTGTATTTTAGCAAAGGCAAAGTAAAGACAGCTGTAGTAACCTGCTTTGTCTAATTACTAGGGTATTTTTTGCTGTGAACCACCTTGAAATCTATGAATGAAGGACAAAATACAAATATAATGAATAGGAAGAATAAGAAGGTTGTAATCCTACGCACATGACATTGGGAGTTAGCACCACTGAAGTCAATGGGAGTTACTTCCTAGCAAATATGCATAGGTATGGCCTCTACATATCAAACTAATAGTTTTTAATATAATATCTGAATTAAGGTAATTCTTTTTAAAAATACTCCATATTTACCGAAGGAACTGGACTTAAAACAGGTGACAAGTCTTCAGATTCAAACATCTGTGTTTGGTCCTTTTCAGGAAGCTGCATTAACTTATCCAGTTTCACTAGAGCAGACACATTTTTGATATTGCTCAAGGATTCCTCCTTTTCAGGTGTGTGAAGCAAGGATGACAAAGATGACCTTCTCTCTGAAATATGATCAGGAGATTCCTCCCTTGTTCCCTTCTGGCAGCCTAAACAAATAATAAAGGCATAATTCAACATATTGGTTTGTTCATACACATCATTTGACCACTGAACAGGCTGTGAACTCTCCTCCCCAACCTCAACCCCTGTTCCAAATTTCAACTGCATATTCATTTTACATTCTACTACAAACTCATGAGGGAAGGGAAGCTGTGGCATGATGAAAATATGAAGCTATCTAACACGCAAAGCAACCACTCATTCCTCTAGTCTAGCCCATTTTATCTTCTAGCGGGCAGCAACTCTCCTGAGGTTCAGTCAGGGATCTTTCCCAGTCCTCTTTTGAACTGGAGATTTCTGCGATCTCAAGCATGTAAAACGTGTTCTTTCATTGTACAGAAACATAGCAAGCAATATTATAACACTGAATACCATTAGTCCATCTGGTTCATATGTTAAACCATATTTTAAAATAAAACACGTTCTAATGCAAACAAGCAGCATGATAGTTTGTGATGTTCAGTAAGTATCCGATTTGCTTCTCTCTCATCCCTGCCTTTGCCATGCTGGGAGGAAACAAACTAAAGCACTGGGTTACTGCTGCATGTGAACCACTCTTTGTGATTTGTTTCTTTCCAAACAAGCCGCAAGTGGAATCAATTACTGCTTGTGGCATGTTTAGGTGCAACAAACAATGAGTGATGGCTTGCTCATAATGCTAAGCCAGTACTTTGGATACTTCCTTCCAGTGCGACAGAAGCAGGGGAAGAGAAAAGTGGACACTGCTGAGCAGCGTGCACCAACATTCTGCTTCTGCATCTAAGGCAAGCCACTGACTGGTAGTGACTGTCTAGGGTTTAAGACAGATGTCTTTTCCAACACTACCTAAAGATGACTAGGATGAACCCAGACTCTTTTTTAATGCAAAGCATGTGCTCTGTCATTGAGCTATGTTCATTTGCCATGCAACTATCACCCCTCTCCAGTGATGACACATTGCATTCCTTGACACAGAATTCTTTTCTTGCAGTTTTCTAATTGTTTTCTTCCAGAGTTTTTACTCACCAGACATTACACTTTTCATCAGAAAAGCACGATGACTTACCTAGACCGTCAGTAACAGAGTGAGTGAATTTGTTATCTCCTGTTGCTCTCTTAATTTATCAGATCTAACTTCTAAGTCTGGCAATTCAGAGGTAGCAGGAAAGAAACAGTAAAGAAAGTACACTACTATAAAAATCTAGAATTACTTGAGTCTAACAGATACCCAGTAGCTTTTGGAGGGTAGCCTGTGTTGCGTAGGTACCAGTAAAATATCATTTCCCCTTCAGCATAAATTGTAGGTTTTCAGCAGCTCTTAATTATTCTTAGAAAGTCTGCCCCCACCGCCAGCCTACAGAAATTGGTTGTTTTCTCTGAAGTGGTAGGCAGGACTGCTTCTTGAAGAGGAACATCAAACCATGTTCTCCAAATTAAGGCATCTAACAAGAGCTATTAATAGGTGTCTATCCATCCAGTGAATAGTTTCCTGATGGTGCCTCAGCTGCAGAATCACAGTGTTAAGAGATGTATGGCAACAAAAATCACAAAAAAAAACTTGCTGGGTTTCACTGTTACAGTTTAATTTTAGTTATCCCAAAACTGTTAAATATTGCGTGTTATAAATGACTGTTAGGTTTTTGGGTTTTTTTGTATTTTATGATTATATAATTTTATAATGTTTGGATGCTTTGTTGTACCAGTATGCATGTATTTAAGTTTCAGTATTTACTCAATATTACACACAATAACACATATACAAGTAAAAATATAAAACCTACCTCTCAGTGTCTCAAAAGAAGGTAGGCTCTCAGACGAAGACAGTGGTGATAACTCCATTTGTTGTTTCGGCACATTATCTTTTGATTTAGTGGACTTTTTTACTTGCTGTACCTGTTTTATTTTGGTCACCTCACTGGAAGCAACACACTGTTGTACCTTTGGTTGATCGACAGCTTTGCTTTTCATACTTTTGTGTTCTGGCTGGAAATACCAAAAAAATAATATCTGACACATTTCACTAGATACTAAGCACACTGGAGATTTTATGCTGGAAACAAAATTAATAATTAAAATATTAATTCAAAAATATTGGGCCGGATTCACTTAATGAGCCTCATCAGTGGAAGCCCTGGAAAAAGACTTTTCCATCCTTCCCCCAAAAAACTGATTTGGCAGGGGGAGGGGTGTCAAAAGAAACCTCCAGAACAGCACACAGGGCAAGAAGAAGGAGGGAATAATTCTATCTGGCAAACTTAAAGGCTTGCATTGATGGAAAACACATCACGTAGTGACATGGAATTCCACTCAGTGTTTTACCATTAGACAAAGTAGGAATCCAAGAGTGTAACTGTATTTCTATCATGCTATGTTTGCCCTAGTATTTTTCCGGTAGCATTTCAATTTCTCCTTCTTTAACCTGGTACTAATATTCATACATTTCTCTGCCTTTTATGTTTCCCTTCTCCTGGAACTACAATCTATCATGGACATTTATTTGGTGCTTAAAACAACACTAAATTTGTACGATCACAAATTCAGGGTGCTAGGGAGAAATGGGACCCTTACCCTCTGCTAAAAAATGTTTTCTATCATTATATTATTACAGCTTGATTGTTTAAGTTCAGTTCAGATAAGGGCATTTCAACATATTTACAATTATTTTTAATTTACTAGGGAGTCTTTAAAATGCAAACTCTAACAGAATCTAAAATAATTAATAATGCTGCACAATAAATTACAACTTACACGTTCTTTTAAAATGTCTTTCTTAGTTAAGTGTACTGATTCCTCTTCTCTTTCAGTTGATGAATCTGAGAGTTCTTTATAGCGTTTTTTGGCTAGTGCTGCTTTTCTGGGTTGTCTTGATCTGGTTGGTGCTGCTTTCCCCACAGTATCATTATCACATTGATTGGTAGAAACTGGTACCTTTATTTATTCCAACAATGTACGAACATGTTAGTGATGATTTATTAATTATCTGGCCAATGAGCACATTCAGAATTTTGAGGAAGTGACATGGGGGCCAACCACAAAATGTAAGGTCTGTGGAGGGCATGGAATAACACAAAATGGCTCCCATATCTAAAACAGTCTTTGGCATGTCGCTAGTAGCAGGAAAGTATAACAGAAGTAACGGGGAAAGGGCAGGAAAGGCTAAGGTGAACACAAGCAAAGAAAACTAAATCCTTGCTTCTACCCCTTTTTAATGAGGAGAAAACAGGCAAATCAATGCATGGAATTCATTGAACAGGAAAGACTGGTAAACCTTGAGTAAAGATAACAGGCCAGAATAGGAGTTCAAAGAAATTATAGGTCTGCTTCAAGCAAGGCAGAAAAAAATGAAATGAAAAATGGCCAAACAGCTCCTCCTTATATTGCACAGCAAACTGAATCGACTTTGCTTATGCGATCAGATTATTTATATGTCTTGTCATGTGGATACTCAGTATTAATGCTTCTAAGATATACAGTTTGAAAGTTTTATCATACCTTATCATTTATGATTTTCTTCTGTTGAGGTATTTCCCCCATGCTTGGTGATACAGAATATATATCTAAAAACAAAACAAAACAAAAACCTTACAACATCAAGTGCAAAAGAACTTCATTTAGGCCAATGATGTTCTGCTTCACTACTCAGAACAAATTTTAAAATCTTTGATTCATGTCATTAAACATGCCCTAGATCCCCTCAATGTAGGTACATATAGTCGTTTAAAATGTGAAATCAGAGTACCATTAATGAACAGGAACTCTAACCTGTCATTCCTGATCTATAAAGTTTGTTCCAGTGGAGTTTATTGAAAAGTAAGCGATATACTATTTTCATATTTTACCCAATCAAGAAACAGCAAAATATCACTAGTATCCCCCACTAAATCTGTCAGGGACAAATATAATATTCAATTCTAGAAATTCATCTGACATGTTTTAAGTATACTACACTGAAAGTCTACAAGACAGCAAAATAATAAGACATTTACTATCATAGAACGAAGTGAAGATCGTTACAGCTATAAACTTTGTAATATATAGATTGCGTACTTGTATCCAGCGTTTTAGACTTCTGTTTTCTGGGTCTGCTATAGTCAACCACCTGCAGTTTAGGTTTTCTATTCGATTCTCTTAGCCAGCTAATATCTGTCTTGTCATCTCTATATTCTGTATCTGTGTCACTGAAAAGGTGCTTCTTGTTTTTATTAGTTCTGTTCTATAAAATAAGGAAACACTGATAAACCATTTACTGACATTAAATTTGCAGGAGCCTTTCCAGCTTAATTCCTTATGACTGAGTCCTTAAACAAGTCAAACACTGAAGACAACCAAAACCAATGAAACTAGTTTGCCATGACTGATTTAAGCCCAGTGGTTGTCAAAATAGCCAATTATGGTCCAGGGTAAAATTATTTCCCAACTGTCAACCAGTAGCTAAACCTGGGTCCATAGCACTCTCATCATAACTTAACACAGCTTAGCTAACACCATATTATAACAGAAAAGGTGGGTAGGGCTGAGAAGGTCAGAAATACAATGGCTCCCCCCTTGGCAAATTCTCATTTCTTTTATGGCAGACCAGAGGGATGAAGTTCCCTCTCAGGTCTGCCCAAGTTAATTCTACCCCTTCTCTCCTAGTAGTTTTTTGATTGGCTAGCAGAAGAACAGAGTGGCTGCTTTGCTCCATGCTAGGCAGTCATTCATTGCCACTGCAGCCCCCTCCTCCTCCACTTCCAGCACACAGAAAGGCTCCCCATGCAAGAAATCTGGATTTGTGAGTATATTAATCTATGGATTACATTCATGATTTGTAGATGGCTTTTTGCACCCCTTATATAATATATTTACTGAACAAACTGTTTTAAATATTGGGGACTTTTAATTCTTTTTCTTTTGTATTCCTGGTCTTTAAATACCTTCTTATCTTGCTTCTTTTGGATTATAACTTCCTCTTTATTTCCATGGTTCCTGAAACAAATATAAAGTAAATCATGTAAAAATTATAGGTACTCTATTTGGATTAATTTGTTTTTTGACTCCTTGAATGTCTGGAAAATCTTATCAAGATACAACAGCTGCCCACTATCTACACTTCTGGAAACAACTGAATATATTTTTGTTCCAACAAGCTTTCTCAGGTGGATAAATGGGTCTTTGCTACAAGTGTCTGTTTTAGTTTTGTTTCAGATTTATGGGCATTTTATATTTCTACCTATATTTTTGCTGTTTTATCATACATTGTCTTGAGATGGTTGTGTAAAATACAGTCATACCTCTAGCTGCGTAAGGTTCATGTTGTGGATTTATCGGTTGTGAATGCGGCAAACCCAGAAGTGTATACTTCCGGATTTCGCCACGCACGCCTGAGAGCATGAGCGCTCTATTGCGTCACATGCAGAAGCGGGGCTCTACTTATGGATTTTTCGGGGTGCAAACGGCACCCTGGAACGGATCGCGTCCGTAAGAAGAGGTACCACTGTAGTAATCAAATCAAAATATATGTACTTATACTTTTAAAATCATAAGGTGGGTTAAAAGGAATTTGGGTCTAATGATCCAAATATGCTTACTTTTTCTTTGGAACATCAGTACTAGCTTCCAGTTTGGTAAGATGAAATTCTTGGATCTAAAAGGTAAATACCAAAAGACATAAATCAAACAGAAATAAATCAAATCTCATTGCAACTTTTTTTTCTTGTTCATCTATTTTTGTTGGTTATATCACCCAAGCAATCAAGTATTTTTATTTCCTTTTTGTAATGACATTTACAAAAACAGACTGTATCCTTCTGCAAAAGACTATAGAGACTTAGTAAAAATTACTGAAACAGCATAGGAAATACTACAATTATTTTTCCATATCCTCCATTAATCCAGTCTATTTTGTATATAGCTGTAGCAATGCATAGGGTTAGATAAGCCCCTTCTAAATAAACACATTTTACATGGTTCCAAATCTCATTATGAACCTCTGAAGTAGCAAATATCCCTATTAAAATGTTAGAGGCATGGAAAATATAATCAGTTCTTTCAATTTAAGATATCCTTATAATATTATGGGTATCTGAGGGAATCGTGTTTTCCATACAAATCACGCTGCCCTTTGAATAAAGCATGAGGTAAGCTGCTTCGTGCAGCTTGCATTCCACCCATTATAACTGCCCTATACACAGATTTCATTTGCCATTATTGCTCTACTGCTGGAGTTACTCTGCCAGAGGAGATCCTTGCAACATTCATGTTGTTTTAGGTGGCAATAGGAACACATCTTTTTCTCTGGGCTTCTAGTGACTGTCATTTGGAAGCAGTGAGCAGGTGGATAGACAATGACAGGCTATGGTGTTTGGACTATCAGTTTTAATGCAATCCTTTTATTTCAGTGAGTGATTTTATTTTATTCCGTCTATGTTTATCTTTGTGTGCAAAATCTCTTCTACAGTTACCTATGATGCAGATGGGAATCTGAATGCAGAGGTAGCAGGATGAACTCTTTGATGTATTTGATGCACCTAAATCTGAGTGTCCTGCTTGTTGATTAGTTGTCTGTGGCTTGAACTGGATTAATGTATTATCATTATTATTTTTTAAAAAATCATTATCACCAAAGGAGCATGCTGAATAAAGTGTTTTTTTAAAAAAATAAAATAAATAAGCCATATAGTAAATCATTTATACTATGTAAAGAAAATGAAAGTGCGCCAAGATTATGTTATAATTATTTATTTACCTAAGCGATCATTCATTTACAGTTTGTTCCCTCTAAATTTCTCCCAGTTTGGGGATATGTCTGGAGCTGGAGCCAGAAAATTTCAAATGCACATGGTGGCAAAAAATATAATAATGAAGTGCACAATTCAAAACTGTGCTGTTGCATGGGACATAATTAGGAGGTACCCTTCTGTCAACAGTGGGGCTTCGCCACTATGGGGGCCTCACTGTTCCTGTTGTAAGCATGGGTGTCTTGGGAAGCTGTTGCTGCTGGCAGTAGTTAAGTGGAGGGCTGCAAAACAGGGTGTTACAGAAGCAGCGCAGGGCCAGCTATGGATCCAGCCTGAAGATATAGCTTAAGGTTAAGGATGTGGCAGTGAATCTGTCACTATGTGCTTCCCACCATTAGGACTGCTCTTCCCATTATAACGGTATTACCAAATTGACTGCCTTATGTGGGCTGCTATACCCTACCTAATGTAGAGCTGTCCCTAATGTGACTGTGCAGGTGATCATCTGTTTATAATTAAAGGTAAAGGTAAAGGCACTCACTTCGCTTTACTGGCCGAGGGAGCCGGCGTACAGCTTCCGGGTCATGTGGGCAGCATGACTAAGCCGCTTCTGGCGAACCAGAGCAGCGCACGGAAACGCCGTTTACCTATTTATCTACTTGCACTTTGACCTGCTTTCGAACTGCTAGGTTGGCAGGAGCAGGGACCGAGCAATGGCAGCTCACCCCGTTGTGGGGATTCGAACCGCCGACCTTCTGAGCGGCAAGCCCTAGGCTCTGTGGTTTATAATTAGTAACACATTATTTGCTACAATACTAATCTTACTCCAAGTTTTACTGTAGGTTCATCAGATCCACTCAGATTAAAGTTGTAGACATCGTCCCTATCAAAAGAGATAAAACTCCATTCAGTATACTCTTCATAATCTAAATTATTGTACTTGTATGAGATGGTGCTTTACTTACATAAGGTGCCCAGTAGTTACGTTGAGCAAAGTAGTAGTTTTTAAACTTCTAGAACTTCTGCTCTGACTTTTTTTCTAGGCATAAAAGAAGAGTTAGGGGGAAAAACTGTCTAGTGGCATTAATACACCTCCTCAACTCATGCAATCCTCTTTTACTTCAATAAGACTTATTTAATTATATGAATATTTAAAAGTTGCTTTTTGGCCTCATAGGGTGCCCCCAAAGAGGTACAAAATCTTAAAGATGAAATATCACTAAGGAGTTTTAGATCAGTAATTATTAATAAGTGATTGAGTCAAACATTAAATTTACTATATGAATGTATAATTTATTCTTACATATTGAAACAATTGTAAAACAAAATTTTAATATACCTCTTTGTATAGAAAAACAACATACCTTGCAAACACTGAAACCTGATTTATTTAAAGATGTGCTGTAAAAATAAGTAAAAATAAATAATAAATCTATTTCATACCAGAAAATTCTTTAGTAAAAAACATTTGCTTTAATGCTATATTTTAAGGGAATTAAGTAATATCATGGAAATTAAAGCAAGATCAGTAAAATGTTGCAATTCTAAATACATTACTAGCCTGCAAGTAACTACTATAAAAAGAAAATATGTATAGAATACCTCCTGTTAGCAAAGAACTGGCACAATTTTCTTGTACTTTTTGCACCATCCATTCCTTTGTATCGGTTGCTGATTTTACTTAGTAACATTTCTGTAGTTTCCATCATTTCTTTTTGTTTTGCTTTCTGTAAGATTTTGAAAATAATTTGTTAAATTTACCAGAAAATCTGATTAGTAGAATAGTACAGCTTCTACAGCACCGTTCGGAAAGTCAAAGGTTTCTGTATACTAGTAGGAAAATGAAGAGCATTCACACAACACGCAGGAAATTTCTGCTCCACTAAAGCCATTCGCAGTTATGATATTAACAGCAGTAAGGAGATAAGTGTGCATAAAGCTGAGCAAAAATGGTTTGGGAGTTATTTACTGGAGTTTATCAACTGGATGAACAAGAAAGCTTTTGAATGGAATCTTTCCAAAGCTTTTTTTTAAAAAAAACAATCCAGCAAACAAGCAAGCTTTCTCCACCATTCACATTAGTTCTCTCTAGAATTACAGGGCATGTCTCTTCCTACGTTTTATTTTGTAGATCAGGGCTGGAATCAGAGTCAAGGATGGTGGAACTGTAGCCCAACAATATCTGGAGGGCACCACGTTCACTATCCCTGCTGCAGACAGTCTCCATTAAGTGACAATAATTTTAAACACGGGTTTAGGTACCAGGGCACTTGTAAATGCAGTCAACTTTAATGATAGCATTTATGAAGGACTTACCAATTTTAAGGAAAAATATCTTTTGAAAGTGATAATGTTTAGCAGTTCACAACCTCTTTGAAATAAAATTTTAACCTAAATAGATTTTATGATATGTATGTATGTCATGGTTTGGTTGAACACAGAGGAGTGGTGGGAGAAACCAGCTGGGGAACCCAGTCCAGAGTGGTGGTTGGACAACTATGACACAGGGAGAAGAATGGGAAGAAGAGGTGTCAAAAGTTGAAGGGTAACAGGCTCAGTGAGTTGGGAGCTGTGGCAGACAGACGTCATGAATCAAAGGCAGAAGCTGAAGCAGACAAGTGGGAAGAGGGAGGTTCAGAGGCAGAGATGAGAGTAATGGGTATCTCCATCCCTCTGCTACAATAAACTCCCCTTCCCCCTGGAACCAGAAGAGGTATGAAACTGGAAGAGCAAAGGCATCTGAAGGCAGCCCTGTTCATGGAAGTTTTAAATGGGTGACGTTTTACTGTGTTTTTAATATTTTGTTGAGAACCGCCCAGAGTGGCTGGTGCAACCCAGTCAGATGGGCGGCATATAAATATCATCATCATCATCATCATTTATTCAAGGCAGGCTGCACAGACGTGCAGTCTCTGATTACTTGCAAGAAGCCCTAGAGGAGACATGGATGGCTGTAGGCAGGCAGGACTTTTAGTCTCGGCAGCTGATTTCATGGAGTAGGACCTACAGGGCATGAACTGCTGTGCTCATTAGGCCTGAAACACAGACAAGTTTGTGAAGATCGTGTAGCTTTGGAACTGTGTGATTTACTGACCGGCTTGGTGCGTGACACTGTACCAATTTGAAATCTTAACAAACTGGCAGGTTTACTTGATGTAGTGATTATATACAACTTATTTAAAAAATATGAAAAGTCATGACTATGATTTCCAAATAGAAAAGTAATTCTGAGGCTGCTTTGCCTTCTCTCATTTTACCTGATCTGTTTTCTTGTCAGTTCCTTTTCCAAAAGAAACATCAAAGCTAGCATCGTCAATTGGTTTCCATAACTAATTCTGAGTGTCTTGAACTCGTTGTTGCTTTAAGTGACATTTCATGTTTACCAGGAGCAAGCTTTATGCTGTTATCTTTTGATATGCTCTCATCCAAATGTTTAAAACTGTTCCGTGACTCTGTGCTCTTTATATTGCCAGTTTTTTCTGGTATTTTACTGATTTCATTGTATTGCTGCTCCACGATTTTTCCATAGCTGTGATTTTGTTTTTCAGCCCTGGAGAAGGCATTTCAAATACTGACGTGAACACTCTTGGCTTGACAGCTTTACTACATGAATTAGGACCTAATGTACACATACACAAAATGAAGTTAAAAATGGGATTTTAAGAAAAACCTGATTTAACACTTCTAATAAATGAAGTAAAAGTTTAACCTTGATAGTCTGTATTTCCCAGTGCACTACTATTCTGCTTGTTACAATGTGATATTATCTGCTCAGGTACCCAACACTTCTGTTTTTTCCGAGTTCTAGCTTCTGCAGCAGAATTTTCCAGAATGCCAGGTAACCTAAATAAAGCAAATGGGGAAAAAATCCTACTTTTATCACTACTGTATGTGGTTGTCCCTCCCTGCTTAGTAGGAGGCTTTGTGAATCATAGGTCTGTGAAGTTTTGGGCTCTATTGCAATGAAAAGTGCTCCAGAAAAACACTTCTCTTTTTTCCTTTGGACCTAAGGCCTATAGACTACTGTAAACCAATTGCTCAGAAGCCGCAGAGCTAACCTGACTGTCTGTATAAGGCAGCGTAAAAAACTTTAAAGTTCCTCGCCTCCAGGAAACACATAAAATCTGTTATGAGTGGCCTGCCATCTTCCTGAAGAAATGCAAAAGCCACTGGTGTCTGCTCTGCTCCCCTGCAAAAAATGTGGAGGCTTTGAAAGAGTAAGCCTGACTTGCTCAGCAATCAGCCATGCCTTCTCCCAAAGCAGTGCTCTTAGACACAAAGTCATCTACTGCTTGCCTGGCTATTAAAAGCCTGGCTATGATGGGAAAGTAGAAGACACAGAGACTATGCCAATTAGTTTACTCTCAGAAGGACAGTTATCTGCACAAAAAATCCCACCTCTTGAGTGACAAACCTGTAAAGATGGAAAAACACAACCAGGGAGTAACCAATGAAAACAAAAAGACAGAAGTATAAGAAAGAAACATAGATAACATAGATAAAAGAAAATATAAAAGTAAGGGGGGGTTCATTTTTTTTCCTTCGCAGAGAAAATACTTAGCAAAGAGCAGTTCTCCAAGCAAGTTACTGCTGGGGTGGTGAAAGGAGAATAGAAGGTGGGAGCCATGTATGCCCATAGATGGTGGGGGCAGCAGGGCAACCACCAAAACTGTATGCTAGCTTTAGAACTTAACCGAATTATCTCTGCATGGGCAAATAACTGGCCTGTGTGACTGTGCAGGAGCTACAAAGAAGAACTCTTGCACTAACTAAATGCTAACTCTTTTAAGAGTTGTTTTTTAACCTAGTAAGCAAGGCGTAAGGAAGGCCAAAAGAAATTATGATAATAAGTGACAGCCAAAGTTTCCAAGCAATAGGCTGGAAGGGATTTTGGACCCCACCCTGCTAACATCCATGTTTTTGCTTGAGAGAGAAGATAACTGATGATAGGCCTATCTAAAGACCTCCTGACATGAAATCAGAGCCACCCACAAGAATATTCTACTATCAGTACTAGTTAACATTTACATTTCCTGTTTATAATTTATTTCCATTACTTACAATGATTTGTCACTTCTTTCTACCAGCTGAGAATCAGGAACAATATCCATCAATTCATCTAAGTGAAATATAGACATAAAATTAGAATTAAAATTTTCATCTCGTTAAAGATTTTGCATCCAAATTTTATTCCTTTTTAGAACATTTTTAACCCACTCTTCAGCTGCAAGGGCTACATACAATCAACTGAAATGAGACAAATATGAAAATAATTTAAAAGCAAAACTAGTGAAACCTGTCAAGCAACTTGCCTGCTTTTTGTTTTTCACAGGTGTTTAAAACTTCTTCCTCATAAGGCATGTTTTCAACATTTTGAATTGGAGCTTGCTGTATATAAACACAATAAAAAATTATTGATGTAATTAGCATGCTTTTATTTTCATCTCAGTTTCTCAAATATTGTTCAAACTGTTTCACAGGTTCAAGCACAAAATACATAAACTCTCAAAGATCAATATCACATAATAAACATTTTTTTAAAACTTACAGTACAATGCATGCAGTACATGCATGCTCAAGGGAAATCCTATTGAGTTCAATGGGATTTATTTGCAGGTAAGTGTAAATGGCCTGGACTACCGTATTTTTCGCCCTATAGGACGCACTTTTTCCCCTCCAAAAATGAAGGGGAAATGTGTGTGCATCCTATGGGGCGAATGCAGGCTTTCGCTGAAGCCTGGAGAGCGAGAGGGGTCAGTGCGCACCGACCCCTCTCGCTCTCCAGGCTTCAGGAAGCTATCTGCAAGCCGTGGGAGAGCTGCGCGACTTCGCGCAGCTCTCCCACGGCTTGTGGAGAGCTGCCTGCACCCCGAAGCCTGGGGGCGCGCTGAGCTCAGCGCCCCCCAGGCTTCGGGCTTCCTGCAGCTCCCCGCAAGCCGTGGAGAGCTGCCTGTTCTGGGAGCTGGGGTCGGGGGAAGCTCGGGTTTCCCCCGCCCCAGCCCCACACCTGGGGGGAGAATATTTTTTTTCCCTTTATTTCCCCCCCAAAAAACTAGGTGCGCCCTATGGGCCAAAAAATACGGTAATTAAAAGGAAACTGATATGTTAGGTAACGAAAAAATCAACAGCAGACAGACAAAAAACATATTCCTCCAACATCCTCCTTCACTTTGGGGCTTTGGAGTAGAACTGATAAAGTCCAAGCTCAATGAAGGTTGGCTGGATTGACATGCACATACAGAGAGTGCTATAAAAATTAGCCTTTTGTGTTTGCATTTGTCTGGAATTTAATGATGATCATTTGATCATTTGATCATTGCAATACAGTTAAGCAGTCCAAAGTCCACTCAGTCTTGATTTATTTGATGTATTTTAACTACAAATTACGCTTCTGAAAGGGAGCAAACAGTGTACACAAGGATTCAGCAAGAGCAAAAATAATGGCTTTGAGATTTCTACCTGGCTAAACTCAAAGTATAGGCCAGCTGTCCCATAGCGATGTCATAAATCCTTGGCCAATGTGTTCTCCAGTATCACAAACCTGGTCCCAGCCAGCCCACATAAGAATGGGCAGCTCTTTGCCAGCTTCAACCAGTACTATTGTGTGGTTTTGAAGCTTCCATGTGAGTCTACCTTAAGTTACGCAAACATATAACTACCTTTTTTGCAGCAGAATTATCCTTTCTTACAGACTTGGTAACAGAAGATAGAGCTGCATAATCATCTTCTTGATTGAAATTCACTGCTCTTTCCTCAGTTATTGAGAAAATATCAGTTCTTCCCATAGAGCTCGTCATTTGAAGAGGTGCTTTAACCCTACTTTTCAGTGGAGTTGCTGGAAACAAATCCACATTTGAGTTATTTTAATGAAGTTTGCATGTTCTGTGTTGTTTGTGCCAAAACTGCAGCAAATGGGCTTACTACAACTTGGATATTGAACAGAGCAGAACTATTCGTCTCTCAGTTTTAATCTTTAATCTGGAACTCATTACATGCCATGGGGGATCTCACACTATACCTCTTCTTGCTTCAATTACTTGTGGGAACCACAAACACCTTGGAGTCCCAAATTTGATTTAAAAAAAAAAATTATTTACAGAATCAATATGGAGATCAGCATGTAAAATGACATATGTGAAGTACCAAATGCAATGTTTACAGAAGATTAAATTGTTTCGTTCAAATAAAGACATTAACACAGGCTACCCAGATCCTGCTGGCAGAACCAAAAAGTTATACTTTAGAATAGGATTAGAGACAGATATAGGCAGAGAGCAGGAATGTTGCTGCGAACATTTCTTTTAGTGGACATCAAGGATGCATTCAGAAAACTAAGAGTTAGTCATCATCTAGGTCAGGTAGTGGGCACATGTCCAGGTTTTGGACATATCACTCAGCACCGGAGTCTCTGCCCCTGGTTCTGACCGTGTCTGAGCTGAAGTCAGAGTCCCAGAGCATAGTCATGGAACAGTAGGACTGCCACATTCTAAACTTTTAAGAGCCAGGTGTAACTGAGCTTGGGGGGGGGGATTGGCATTTAAGATGACAGTCACTTTCCTTAAGTCAGCAACTTGGGAAACATCAAAGATCACATTGGAAAGATTTGCCAATACACTTTGAAACTTAACCTTACAATAAAAGTGCTTTTAAAAATAAATCATATATCAAATATAAGCCTACTACAGGCACAAAACAATACTGAGGTCCACTTTCATATTATGCTGATCTCTTAGTTTCAAGTACATTTCATAAAAAGCTATTGTGAATATCAGAATTTGGCAAATCTGCAGCTGATCAATCCAGCTATTAGGACTACTGTCTTTAAGGAAAATGTGTCTCCCACTGTAAGAAATGTAACATTAAAAGGTGAGAGGAATATTGATGAACTTGCTTGGTTTTCTAGATTGGAATATGTTTGGGGGTCAACTCTAGTGTTGAGAGACAGTGTGATGTAAGAAAGAGACAGAGAGGAAGATCTGGATTCTAAAACCAGGTGGAGGGACCACAGTGTAGAGGTCAAGCACATTCTTTGCATGCAAAAGGTCCCATGTTCTACTCAATCCAACACATTTCCAGTTAAAGGGGTCAGGTAGAGGTGATGAGAAAAACTTCTGTCTGGAAACATGGCTATTGCCAGTCAAAGTTGACAATGCTGGGCTAGATGGACAAACTTGATATAATCCAGTTTCCTATGCTCTTAACCCACCTCTTAGCCAAGAAGCTCACCTTGCACCACTCACAAAATCTTATATCTCTCATAGAGGTGTTTTTTGGGGGCTGGGCAGAGGGCTGGCGACAGAGGGCATCTCTTTAAAAGCTTAAGACTCTGCTACTGTAATTTGATAGTGCCTTTGAAGAGTACTCAGTATCTATAACTGCAATTTGCCTTATGACAGAATGGGTCATCAAAAGCATAGATGACTATAACTTTCTGCCAACAATGCAAAATGATTTTGACTATTAAGTCATAAATCACTGGCTTCCTAGTTGAGGCAACTTTGCACAAAATGAGGCAATTTTCAATTTCTTCTGCAACAATTAAGATCAAAGCATCGCCTGATTTCAAACCACCATGAATCAATATCAAACAGAAAAGGCACACATTACTGTTCTCTGGCTTCTCCATAATTATAGACTCCCCTCCCCAGAGTTTTGCCAGAGCCTAGCCTGTGTCCTACATAAATGAATAAGAAAATGCTTGTGGAAACCATTAGCAGGCTCAATAAAGGAGGCCCGTTATTTGAGGTACATAAAAAGCAACTACTGGCTGATAAAATTCAAATAAAAAGATGCTTCATTGCAACTTAATGCTGGAAAGTGCTGAATACAACATTAACATTTGAGATTTAGGAGGAAGGAACTATATATTCTATTAACATCAAAGGTCCTCACATATGCACAATCATCTTTCTTTGATATATTTCACATGAAGGGAGGCAATAAAGAAAGTTAAAAGATTAAAATCTTTAAGGGTGCAATGATTTATGTTGCTTCTGGTGTTGCTGTTTTATGCCTTATTTTGGATTTGAATCTCCCCCCCTTCAAACAGCTACACTAGCAGGAGGATATCCTCACTCGGTTTGCTTTTCCTACTCACTCCATAAGGCAAAGCTGTTCAAACAAGGCAACAAGTATGCCTTCTGTGGAGAGCACTTTTCTTGAGTGTTTCCTGGGAGAGCAGTAGCTACTGCAACTTGAGGAGTGGAAGAAGGCAGAAAAACAGAGAGAGCTGGAAGGAATGGACTCTTTCACCAAGGCAGGAGAAAAAACTGAGGAGATTCACTACATCTCCCACAATTCTGCTCTCCTGCCTTCCTCATAGCTTGTAATCATTACCCAACCCAGTTAACGCTTCCTTAACCCATGGAAATGACTTCTTTTGCGGTTTGTGGTGGCTGAGGAAGCCAGGAGCTTCTTGGCATGATTCTAAAAAGCTGTTACGGCTGCTTTTGGTCCTAAAATTGTGGGGGATGCCCTTTATAGACTGTAGCAGAGAGCATGAGATCAAATCTAGTAAAGGCACCAGGGGTCAGGTCTGAGAGGCTATTCCCAAAGAGGCCTGACTTGGTCCCCAAGTGTTGTCCTAAGACCTGCACACACCCAGTGGCAAAATTCCAGAGGGAGAAGTATTGTCCTAAAAAATTGTGCTTTTGAGCAACATGAAAGGCTTGAACCCCTGCCTGTAGGACTGGGAGTAGTGGGGCCACTGTGGCCTGAGTCACCAGGGTTCAAGAAGTGAGGGCAGTGTCATCTTGTCATCTTATGATGGGTGTTGAGGGCTCATTTTGATCTATGTGAATTCATGTCCACTGTTGCAGGCAGAGCCCTGATTAGGGTATATCAGCCATTTTTGTACAGTTTGGGGGTTTTCTGAGTTGTATTTTTCCCTTGCCTCCTAGGTTTAGCATATATTTGTCTGCCAACACAGCAGAGTTGTATCTCCCTCACACCTAGCATAACTGGAGTACTGGATTGCTCTGCCCAAAATCTTATTAAGGGTATTTTATTCCCCTGTCCCAGATGTTGATCATAATTGTTGATGTGTTATAAAAACAAGGCATTTTTCATAGCAGATGGCAAATACAACAGTAAATTACACCTTACAACATTGCATCTAACTTACAAGTATTAACCGCTGGTAATGGACTTGGCATAGACAACCTGGCAGCAGACAGCACCACCATTGATGCCTCAGACACTTTCCTTTTACCTGGATTAATCTTGAAATAAAACAGAAAAGCATAATTTAAAATAATGCCAATCTAACCGTGCAATGTAATATGCATCATTTTCTTTTGCATTTTATTATATAAATTACCTTGGATTTAACCGTTTGCAAGTCCCCCTTATTAAGTTTCTGATTCAAATTTTTCTGTGTCTGAAGATACTGATGTGCTGGGGAATGAGTTTCTTTATCTTCCAGTGGTTTACAGGAGTTTTCTTCCAAAGGAGATACTTGACTTTCTGGTACAATAACCTGTTTATTTAAAAAAATAAAATAAAATCCCAGTTCAATACTAACCAATTTATTAAAAATATTTCAGATAAAGTTAATGGATAAAAGAATAGAAGGGAAGGCTTTGATTTTGGGTGCTTTTCAGTTTAGAAAAAGGCAAGTAATGGGGAGCATGACTGAGGTGTGTAAAATTATGCATGACATTGGAAGTAGGATTTGAACCCTCACATGCAGATTCTGAATAAAATAGTAGCCCCAAAAGTATTTTGTTTAAAATGCACACATGCAAACATCCAGGTGTTCTGCTGGTATTTAATGTGAATAGATGAAGTCACTTTTAGGCTTTTGAATAACAAGGTTTTCATGAGAAAGACTTGAACAGATAAAGAAATGATAAAATATACACCATCTCAGACAATAATGCACGCCTTCAATATTTATTAGTCAGAAGCTTGCTTTTAATATTATCCCATTATAAACTGAAATGCAAACCTGTGATTCACTTTCATCAAAAATGACATGTACTGTTGTTTTGGCAACTGACATAGTATTCTTCTTTGTAAATCCCTGAAAAATTTAAGTAGTAAATATTTCACAATACAGTGGTACCTCAGGTTACAGACTCCGCTAACCCAGAAATAGTACCTCAGGTTAAGAACTTTGCTTCAGGATGGGAACAGAAATTGCGTGGCGGCGGCACGGCGGCAGCAGGAGGCCTCATTAGTGGTACCTCAGGTTAAGAACAGTTTCAGATTAAGAACGGACCTCCAGAACGAATTAAGTTCTTAACCCGAGATAGCACTATATGACAGAAAATACAAAATAAAAATAATTTATGGTAAGTAGGGGAAACTTTATTTTTGCAGTTTAGGCTCTTTACACAAAGAAATAATGCACTTTTTAGATTATAAAGGGCTTTATTATGAGACCTCTTTTGTGTTTTCTCTTGGACAATGACTAATTCACAACATTGTTGTGGGGGAAACCGTCAATATGGATCTGAAAAGCTTTCCCTTTTGCCATTTCCAACTCACTGGAAATTGCTTCCGCTTGTTCAGGACGCTTTCAGGAAAAGTGTGTATGCATTTTTTTGTGAGGACAGTATGTTTGAATTGTTGTATCACATGTTAGCTTAAAGCCTTATATTAGACTAGCACAGCACCCATGGTGCCACAGCACTTTTACTGGTGTTCCCTCAGCAGGGGCCTCAGATTTCTGAACTTTTATTTAAAAAGAAAGTCTTTAGCCCTCCTAGAAAGAAAGTGATGGGGCAAAATGTTCAGCTACCTTCTATGTGATTTCTGTGAAATGAGAGACTATGGTGTGTCTACCTTGTATATTCTTCCTGGTACGGAAGAATGCTTCCTGTTACTATTAGACAGCAGCAGTATGTACGTGCATGTGAAATTAATATTGTGTGATCTCCGCAATCAAGACCAGGACATAGCTGACTTCCAATGGTAAGCATAAGGTGATTAGGGATGACTGTCACTAGTTTTGTGTTCTGCCAGGCCCACACCCATAGCAGCAATTTTGTAACCAGTGCTCCCAGTACTATCTCAAAATTTGAAATGTGGTCCAAAAATATTCGTGACCCCTGTATTAGACTGTTTCTCATTTAAAAGGTAATTTATTGTACATTTCTATTCTTTCCCCCATTTTGCTCAACAGTTGCCTACACTGCTTTATTCTGCGGCAGTTTCAGAACTGGAAAACCCTAGATTAATTTGTGACAAGTGCTTGCATGCGGTGCTCATTTAGGAATAACTGGCAATGCATAAATAGAAACAGAACCAACTATGAAAAGAACTATAATCACTCAAAAGTGAAACGTCCATTTTTGTTTCAGTTGCTAGATAGAGGATAGATGAGAAAGGAAATTGGTTCGCTTTTACCTGACGTTTATAGGCACCATAAACCTTCAACGCTGCATCCACAATTTCCAATGCCGAATCAAAATGCAGTATTATTTTCTCTCCTTCTTGGATACCCACAGACATTGGATTGTGTAAATGTATTGTCAACAATTTCTTATTGTCTTTCTCTAGGCAACAATGAAGTGTGTTCATATTAAATTGTTATTACTTATATGTTAATTATTTGTAAAAATTGCAGAAGCATGCAGCATTCAAATAAACTAGGGTTGTTGTTTTTTTAAAAAAGAAATGAGTAATGATCATACCATTGGTTCATTATGAATCCCATCCTTCCCGTTTAATAGAAACAGTAAACTGTGAATAAGAAATAAATTGATGTGCTCAATACCTTCAATAATGTATGTTTTTACTTCTTCTTCAGGGATGCAAACAGTTTCCCATTGATGACCCTAAAAATAACATTTGATGAAAAGGGATGAAAGTTCTTACTGTATTTTTGTTTGCTTGCATAATATGGTGTTAAAAGGCATACATTTCAGGTTAACAACTAGTTCTCCTGGAGCACTAGTTTTCCTGGAGGATTGTGGACCAGCATGTCAACAAAATCTGTAAGTGATCTGCCAGTTTTTTCTGTTACAGGTGCCACTTTCCACTCACTTTTTTATACCTGCTCCCTTCCCCCAACTATCCAAAGTGGGCACGTGGGCTAGGAAACCTGGTACGTTTGATTGAGTATATGGACACATCAGCTGGGGGAGGAGCAGGACAAGGACTATAAAAATCCATGCAGGCCCTTGCCACACCTAGTGTAGTTTTGGAAAAAAGTGTACATCTACTAAATCCACTCAGCTACTCTAATGTACCTTCACAGCAGAGCATAACTGATTTTCTTTGACTACTAAACTACCCCTAAAAAATTAATACAATAAGAAAACTTAACCTACGCCATCATCCGCAGCAACATAGAAGGATATACTTTTGCTACCAGTATTAAAATCAATCCAAAATTCTTCAAGGTTGTCATCTGCTGGGATCTGTAGCTAAAGGAAATTCAATCCAAATATAAAATTATAAATGCATGTATAATGGTGTAAGATTTCTTACTAAATACACAATAGTTTTACTGAACAGGTAAGGCCTGTATACTCAACCCTTTATCTTGCACATCATATTCAGAACTTCATTCCTGGTCCCCTAAAACGATTGTTCCCAATTACATTTGAAACAGTAAATATTAATTTACTAACCAGGAACAAACTGTTAGTAAACCGACATCAAAACATAGTTCTCCATTTCAAAGATAATGGGGAACTGTGACTAAGATGCCAAGAGGACAATGTTTAAAAGGAAGAGATGTGGGGGAGCACACTAGTCAAACACTCATTTCAACATTATTAAATTTAATAAACTAGGAATGCCAGGTCCAAATTGGCCCAGAATTTTATGTTGATGTCAAATCTCCAATGTCATAATAACTCATTTGCCTTTTCATTCCAAAGAACCTCTAATTTTTTGACAATCTATCAAACACATATCTCTGTTTCAATTTTAAACAAAAACACCAATAGTTCTAAAAAAACAAAAGATACACAAGACAAAAGAAATAAACTTACCTCATGTTCACAAAGCATAGCTGATAAACAAGGATAGGTAAAAACCCTGTCAAAAAAGTATTTACAGAATGAAGATATGTTCATTTCCCATCTCATTACTCACACAGGTAATTGTTCCCACTTTCCATTACCTTTTCAAATGGGAAAAAATTAAAGTCCTGCTTATGGACAAAATATTTCCTAAAAAAAAGTTTATATATATTTTCCCCACCTGGTTGGAAGATTCTATTAGAGAGATTAAGTTTCTTGCCTCAAGCAAAAGAAGGAACAAACTGCAAAAAGTCTCCCGCTGTCCCCCGAGCTTGTGGGGCTGGCGGTGGGGCTCTCCTGAAGCCTGGAGGTTGTGGGGCTGGTGGGGGGGAGAAGCAGGCTTGCTTCTCCCACCCCCAGCCTCCAGATCAGGTCGGGGAATAGCGGGATGGCGGAGCACCGCCATCCCGCTATTCCACGACCTGATCTGGAGGTTGTGGGGCTGGGGGGGGGGAGAAGCAGGCTTGCTTCTCCCGCCCCCAGGCTCCAGTTCAGGTCGGGGAATAGCGGGATGGCGGAGCGCCGCCATCCCGCTATTCCACGACCCGATCTGGAGGTTGTGGGGCTGGGGGGGGGGGGAGAAGCAGGCTTGCTTCTCCCACCCCCAGCCTCCAGATCAGGTCGGGGAATAGCGGGGTGGCGGAGCGCCGCCATCCCGCTATTTCCCGACCTGATCTGGAGGTTGTGGGGCTGGGGGGGGGGAGAAGCAGGCTTGCTTCTCCCACCCCCAGCCTCCAGTTCAGGTCGGGGAAGGGTACCTGTCATATCTTAACAAGATTGCTTTTCCACAAAGAACCGGCAGCCACAATGATACTGCTGTTCTGGGTTGCTGTGGAGCAGGTTTCTGACATTTTGCAGACTTTAATAAGACAGTTTTCTGCAGAAAGCAGTGACCCATTGGGTAATCTGACTACATCCAGTATAGGGCCTTATCAAACTGCCAAACTTGGCCTGGAAGCAGTTTAGCAGCCAGTGCAGATCCCACAAACAAGGTGTTATGACCTTATGAAAGGTCAAGTCATATCATTGCATGTGTATATATATCTAATGTTGCATTCTTCTCCAATTAAAAAAGTGCTTTCCGTTACTATTCTTATTAATCACATTTCTATACCGCCTACATCAAACGATCTTAGGGTGGTTCATTGCTAACTTCATACCTTCTTTTGTCTCCAAAAATGCCATTCACCTGGTTAAGGAACTTTCTGCAATCCTGTTAAGGAGAAAAGCAGCATAAGTATTGCAATCATACCTTTGCCTTGAAATACCCAGTATTTGAATGTGACTTACTGTTTCAAACTCAGAATCCTTAATTTCTTTAAATGCATTACTAACAAACTCCATTGAAAACCACTGGCTTGCGAGTTCTCGCCTCTGTTTTTCTGATGTCATTCTGCACAAAGCTTCTGTAATGGCAACTTGGAGGTCATAGTCTATAATGTACGAGAGGAATATTAGCATAAAACCTCCTTCCAGGGATAAATATTACACTTGCTAACTAGTTGCTTAAATTTTTAAAAAATGATACAATGTATGATATATTGCATAAAGGTAATGGGTTATGATAGCCATGTAGCTATCTGGGCTATTGAGAAACAAACTGGGCTACTGAGAAACAAAAAGGGAGCATGAGTATGATTTGGGGGACCTCAAGGTTTGCAGAAGTAGGTATAACCTTTAGAGGGAAAAGCCTCTAAAACAGCCCAGTGAGGACTGAGCATACTCAGTAGGGTTGTTGTTGTTTTTTATATGAAGATGCTGCATAACTAGAGTCCTTGAGTGCCAATGGGGATCTCCTATTCAAAGAGTGGAAAAAGGCAAATTTGAGATGCCTCGGATTGAAGATGAAGGAAACAACACCTAGCAGATTGTGAAAAAGCTGAACTTTAATACAGCTGGATATTAACATGAACTACATATTTTGAATAATTGTTATCTACATAATTGGCAAACAGAGAATAAGAAGAGCTCTCTCTTTGGTTTTAGTTACTTATCTTACATTTCTACGATCTTTAATTATTGTTTTCTTTCTGTTAATTCTATCTATATTTCTGTTTTGATTTTTGAAGTTCCCTATCTTAAATTAAAGGAAGATACATACAGGAAAGTGATGGAAGGGCCTTGCATGAGAGGCAGGGTAGAGAGGATCTCCCAGTGTGAGAAGCTGGAGGAAGAGGGGAAAGCTCCCAGGTGAGAGCTGGGAGGGTTATTTTTATGTGTGAACTGAATGCTTTTGTCAAATTAATGTTCATGTTCAAATGTGATTCTTTATACTGCTAACATTGTCAATATGGGCACAATAGCAAAACTACTCCTGTTACATTATCTAAGCTAAGAAACATAAGTATCCTCTGCACTTACCCCCAGCTTCCAAAATTCTCTTTCCCATATCATTCCTGCAAAACAAAATATTATGAGTCAGGTGTTTTTCTTTTTTGTTTTTAAATTATATACTTCTGTTTAATGATTAGTGCATCCCCTTCATGGTGATATCCACAATTAAGAATATCTTATTCCAAAAAGTCGTCTTTTCTGTTTATTTTTGGGCTGATTTTTGTAAAAATAAAATAATGTTTGGCCTATCTTTATCAGAACACTTGAGGGAGCTGGGTATGTTTAGCCTGGTAAAGAGGAGACTGAGAGGAGATATAATCGCCATCTTCAAATATCACAAGGGTTGTCACATGGAGCAAGCTTGTTTTCTCTTGCTCCAGAGGATAGGAGCCGAAGCAATGGATTCAAGTTACAAGAAAAGAGATTCTGACTAAACATCAGGAAGAACAGAAAAGTAAGAGCTGTTTGACAGTGGAACAGACTCTCATGAGAAGTGATGGACTCTCCTTTCTTGGAGGTTCTTAAAGCAGAAGTTGGTTGGCCATCTGTCATGTTTGATCTGGCTGAGATTCTTGCATTAATTTACATTGACTTTCCTTACACCAGCATCTTGTGATCTTTCTTCTTTGATACTGCCTTCTAAGAGCAGCTTTCTAAAAATGCTTAACTCAGAGGCTGGATTGTGCCTAAAGAATATTTTAAGCCATGTCAACAAAATGATTTTGGCTCAAAATTAGATTCTCTTACCAAGGTTCTAGTTTTATGAAAAGGGGAAAGACTTATGTAATTATATTAAAGATTAAATAATTACATGACTTCTTGCATTTCCTCTGTAGAAATAATTTTCTTTCTAGTATCTCGGGGCATAGAATCAAGCATTGTGTTCAATTTTCTTACTGCCTAAGGATAATAAAAATAAATGATTGAAAATTAACCACATTAGAACAAGAAATATTTGCAATGCATTAGGTGGAAGAATATATTTAATTGTCCATTAAAACAATGTAACTTAAGAATCTCGATCTTAATGACTGCAGATCTTAAATGTTTATTCTGTAATATATAAATCCGAGTCTAAGGATACAACACAGGGTTATCAGTTTAGTGGAGCAAAAGAAATTCTCCTCTGCTAAAGTCTGGATAAACTATCTACCTACAATGTGCAGAAGAACAAGTCAGTCAGGCCTTTGTTGGACAAGTATGTGGCCGACTATACACAATGAAGCATCGCTAAAAATACAAAAGCACTTTTCAAAAGTCAACCCTAGTGGCTGGTATGTCAGCTATGATATCAGCTATGTGCTGATAGAGTAGCCAAAGAATACATAAGGGACTGAACAACAGAAATTACATAAGAGAAAGAAAAAAAAGGAAATGTTCTTTAAAGTGCTTGAGAAAAAATGGATGTTTATTTAAATTATAAAAATGGGATAGTGCTAGCAGAGAAACATTTTTCGGAAATATATAGAAGAAATGCATCTAAATAAACACGTTAAAACAAATGGACACAGAGATCAGAGAAGTAGGTATATGTGCATTATTTCTATACTGTCTTTCAAAAACTGAATAAAAACTTTTTAAAATACACCAGGTAACAGGTACCAGGTAAATCATTAAAACCTAACATTGTTCAGAAGAAAGAAATTTCTTACCTCCTGCTGAATATAAATGTTAATTCTTTTATCGGTAGCAAGTGTGCATGTTCGCAAAACAAAATTTTCTAGTACTTGTATTTTACCTAAACAAATATTGTAATATATCATTTACATAAGTCTCTACAAAGCCATATATTTTTTAAAAAAACTGGCAATTATAGTGTGAATAAGCACTTTTAAAGCCTTTCATTTAGAAAGCAAGCAAGCTTTATAAATACTGATTGTCTGAAGTGACACAAAACAAACAGGAATTTAACATACAAGCATTCTAAATTTCAGCCATCTTTAATTTATGCAACCTGAAAGGAACAAGGAACAGTAAAGCTCATTTGCTAGAGCTTTTGGCTGCATCTCTGTAGAAAGTTGGGCTGCTTAAATCTTAAATCAATGCGATTTAAGAAGACTGTATAGAGGATTGCAGCCTCTTTCTCTATAATGATTCAAAAGTAGTCTTTTTCATTTCTACAGAGAGCCACAAACTTAGCATCTTTCAAAGCTTGTAGATTATCTGAAACTTCATAATCCAATAAGGTCGCCATGGGTCTTACTTTATATAAGACAGCCTTCTATTTGAAGAGCTGTCTAGTCCAAGTCAACTTTAAAGATAAAGAATTATAAGAAGGGGCAGTAGGTTTCTTGAAGAGACCCACCAACACACAACATCTGGACAGCAAACTAAGCAAGCGCAGTTTACCTGATCACAGTATTCCCCATTATAGTGAAATGTACTGAAGGAAGGTGAGGACAGGTGACCTCACCTAGGCCCGAAGTCACCCCCCACCCCAAAGCAGGCTCAAAGCTTCTCAGAGTTTTTCAAAATCATTTTTCTCAGCAGCTAAAAGGCATTAGCTAAGCATCAGAAACATTCCGCTTGCTGTAACTAAAAAGATTGCAACAAGATAGAGGACAGAGTCCATTGTCTTCTCAGGCCTTTCTCAGAACCACATTGCAACTTGCTTTCTCTCTGGGAACCATGCCAAAGCACAAGAATGAAACAACGGGAACACTCTGAAAACCCCCTCACCCCCTTTTCTGCCAAGAGTCCACAATAGTCCCAAGACAGCTTTCTGTTCATGCTCAGAGGAACTCAGGGGCAGGACTCCTGAGGGAGGAGAAAGGAGGAGGGAACTAGAAAGGGGTATATATGCTTGTGCACATGACTGTGAACTTCGTGCATGCTTTTGTGGACTATCACACTTGCTCCTTCTACCAGTTCATGGATGGTAGAAATAAAAACCTTTTTCTCCGAAACTATTCCTTGAGTGTCTGTTGACTCCCACTTCCCTTTCCCAGGCGCAATATTTTTCCCACCCGAGGGCAAAGCCTCATAAGGCTACAGTACTGCATTTCTATTTAAATTACTGTAAAAATACCTAAGGCTGTGTACATCCTCCTATTTACTATTCATCCAGTGGACTCCCAGCACTGTTTTTGGAAGTGGTATACACACAAAATTAGCCACAATCCATTTTGTAAGCAGATGAAACCAGATTCATCCAAATTGGGAAAAAATGACTTGGCTGCATTTTAAGCCAGTTGTGTGTACACAGCCTAAATGTGCATCCATCAATTTTTCTTTCTTCCTCTCTCCACATAAATCAGTACATGCAAAGTTTATGTAAGTCTATTTCCTCTCCCTGCCACTTTTTGGGATGCATTTTCTCTTTTTGTCAATGTGGAAGTGCCTTCCCCCAGCCCAGCATCTAGGCTATTTGACTATAATATATAGAATACACTCATTACTGATTAATCAAAACACCTATTGGACTAACAGTATATGCAACTAGAAATATAATAAATATAATTATAGTAATTAGTTTCATGCATACCTTTACTGCTGGTATCATGTACTATCTACAATTTAAATAAACAACATATTAAAATCACTCTGCACAATCAGGACTACTACTTTATTTGTGGAAATGGATTGTATCCAATGGTGACTTTGTGCTATTAAAAAGCAATTCCATTCATCCAAGGCAGAACCTGAATTTTGCTAAACCCAGAGGCACAGCATTTAAGGAAGCAGCTTTTCAGGAAACAGACAGGCTGCAGTGAATAGGAAGGATCAGCAAAAACTGGGTGCCCCAAAGTCACTGAATTCTGCTATCAATGAGAAATCTTTAGAATTGTTTTCTGTTTCTGTTTAGGCAGACCCCAGAAAAATACACATGTAATAACTATATTTTCACAAAATTATGCTGAAAAAGAAGAGGAAATGGACAAGAAGAGAAGAGAAGAGACAACCTAATGAGATTGCTTATATGTGCATAGCTATAGTTTACATTTGAAATAACCAAATAGAAATTTTGAACATGATATCTTTTATCTGCATATGGGATTAACAATGAATATCTAATTGTCTTTTTAATACAGTTGGATTTCTTGTTTTCTTAAAGTTTAGATACAGTAGTTAATTATGACCAATGAGTTAAAATAATGTACCGTATTTTTTGCTCTATAAGACTCAGTTTTTTCCTCCTAAAAAGTAAGGGGAAATGTGTGTGCGTCTTATGGAGCAAATGCAGGCTGCGCAGCCATCCCAGAAGCCAGAACAGCAAGAGGGATCGCTGCTTTCGCTGCGCAGCGATCCCTCTTGCTGTTCTGGCTTCTGAGATTCAGAATATTTTTTTTCTTGTTTTCCTCCTCCAAAAATTAGGTGCGTCTTATGGTCTGGTGCATCTTATAGAGCGAAAAATGTGCTACATAAAAAAGCTTTCACCCAAATATTTGATATATACATCTTATAAATATTTAATAAATACATGTCAGTTTATGGAACAATGCAAGAGGTACATATTTACCATAAGAACATCAAAGAAGTCTTCAAACAGAGTGGCAAATTTGTCATTCTTTTCATTTACTGTATTTTGGATTATCTCTTGAGCCTTTTCAAACCAATTTACCATGTAGAGAAAACATAAAAGGTTTGTATAAGTATACATTTAAAAGTTATTATTATTTCTAGAATTCACCAGGCTGTTTTCCAATTGAAAACCAAAGTAGCAAGCCTTCTTTTGGCGCAAGGGCAATGTGCACTCATGGCCAACTTTGCCTCATGCCTGTGGTAGGTGTGGTCAACACAGTTTATCACACATGCTTGCATAAGAAAAAGAGAATGAGTGAGAGAGAAAAGAAAAAACACATAGGCACATAACTGCCCCCCACTCATGCAAATCAGCCTGGGGACGGGGCTCATTCCCTCTCCACTCAAATGACTGATACAATTATTGGGGAGCATTATGATTTATCATGGACGCGGGTGGCGCTGTGGGTAAAAGCCTCAGCGCCTAGGGCTTGCCGATCGAAAGGTCGGCGGTTCGAATCCCCGGCGCGGGGTGCGCTCCGCTGCTCGTCCCAGCACCTGCCAACCTAGCAGTTCGAAAGCACCCCGGTGCAAGTAGATAAATAGGGGACCGTTTACTGACGGGAAGGTAAACGGCGTTTCCGTGTGCTGCGCTGGCGATCATTATTATCATCATTATGATTTAGTGATACATATAGGTAAAGGTAAAAGGTTCCCTGACCATTAGGTCCAATCGTGACCGACTCTGGGGTTGTGGCGCTCATCTCGCTTTATTGGCCGAGGGACCTGGCGTACAGCTTCTGGGTTATGTGGCCAGCATGACTAAGCGAACCAGAGCAACACATGAAAACGCTGTTTACCTTCCCACCGGAGCGGTACCTATTTATCTGCTTGCACTTTGACGTGCTTTTGAACCGCTAGGACTGCGGATTCGAACCACCAACCTTCTGATCGGCAAGTCCTAGGCTCTGTGGTTTAACCCACAGTGCCACCTGCGTCCCATACAAGGTGCCATTATCAGTTTTAAATCACTGTTCAGCACTGAAATCAAATGGACGTCCAATATGTTGCTATTACAGTGGTACCTCGGGTTACAGACGCTTCAGGTTACAGACTCCGCTAATCCAGAAATAGTACCTCGGGTTAAGAACTTTGCTTCAGGATGAGAACAGAAATTGTGCTCCGGCGGCCCGGCAGCAGCAGGAGGCCCTATTAGCTAAAGTGGTGCTTCAGGTTAAGAACAGTTTCAGGTTAAGAACAGACCTCCAGAACGAATTAAGTTCTTAACCCGAGGTACCACTGTACTTTATCTCTAATTACTCCTAGGAAATATTTTTGAATTTCCTATACTTATCTTTTGAACAAGACCATATTCTACCATTGCTGGAAACCCAATTTCTCCTAATATGGTTATATTTCTGCCTTGTTTCAGAAGAGTATTCAACATAGTGGAAACATTCTTGACTTCTTCATTGTCAAGTCCCTGAAAATTGAAAAACAAAAATTTCAGTAATTATACAAAAACTTTACTTAACAGGATGAAAACAATGGGTTGGATCCAGACTTGTCAGCCACAAATGAAGGTCTCCTTCCATCCAAAAGAAGAAAAAGATAAGATCCAAGAATCTGAGGGAATATGGGGGTGGCAGAAATGTTGCTGATTCCCTCCTTGCCCCACACCAGCACCACCTTCACAACTATTTTGGAGGGCCCCGACCCCTTGAAGTCACATATTTAAGGAAACATTTTTCTTTAAAAAAGAAACTGCTTGTCTCCACAAAGAAATTTGAATTTTACATCACTTTTTATGATAAAATCAAAGTCAGCTTAAAAAGGTAAAGGTAAAAGACCCCTGACAGTTAAGTCCAGTCACGGATGACTCTCGGGTTGCGGCGCTCGTCCCGCTTTACAGGCTGAGGGAGCCAGCGTTTGTCAGCAGACAGTTTTTTTTCTGGGTCATGTGGCCAGCATGACTAAGCCGCTTCTGGCACAATGGAACACAGAAACCAGAGCAATGCACGGAAACGGCAGTACCTATTTCTCTACTTGCACTTTTTTGGCGTGCTTTTGAAATTCTAGGTTGGCAGGAGCTGGGACCCAGCAATGGGAGCTCACCCTGTCAGGGGGATTCGAACTGCCAACCTTCTGATAGGCAAGCCCAAGAGGCTCAGTGGTTTAGACCACAGTACCACCCAAATTGTAAATCACACACAAAAAACATTTTTACTCCTAAAATGCCATTATAACTGGATAAATATGTAAACAGCAGCAGAATAAAAGCATAACGATGCTTTTACTGTAAAATGCATGCTATGATGAAACAATCTTAACAGTCCATTTAAAAGCGAACAAAGAGAGGGCAATGCAATAGAACTTAAAAGACCTCTCGCCTGTTCCCACCCAACACATCTGTCTGTTGGCAAAAGGACAATGGAGAAAAACTTAGAAAACATTGAGTGGGTTCAAATGTGATTTTGTGCTGAGAGATTAACAGAAATATGGAGTCTGCAAACTCACAACAATTTTCATCTCAAAGAGGCAGAATACTATCAACAATACTTCATAATACTATCAAGCCCATGGTTCTCCTATAATTCAAACTGCCCTAAACAATATTTTATACAATATTCCACTATGTACTGACGTAACACAAAAACAAAAATCCATTACCTGGCATATAAGTTTGTCTAATTTATTGAGAAACTGTTTGCTGCATTTGTGAGAAATGCCACCAGAAAAATCAGTTTCCAAGAACTGTTCCAATGCTTGGAAGTCATTTTTTCTTGTAGCATCATCTATACATTTTTCCAGCTGTCAGAATGGGGAAAAAACACACAAATACTACTACTTAATACTTCAGTTAAATTGAGCACAGTGACAAATCTTATGCAAATCTGTATTTTTAATCAATCTTTTAATTAGGACTAAAATGCTTTTCAGAATTTTTTAAAAATAAAAGAGATGTATAGTGCAAAATATTAGAAAGATGTTACTGTTAATAGCAATGACTGGAAAGGGGGAAGATGCCATTGTGCAAGCAGAAATCCTTGCGCTGATGGGATGCTCAAGTAGTACTACACTGGACACAACTCAAAGTTTCCATGCTCACAGTGGCTTCTCCATTCAAATCAATGGAAGAGACAGCTGTATATATAAGAAAAGGCATGTACAGACAATGCAGCCCCTTTCTCTGAAATCAAAGGAGGGGGATACAGTGGTGCCCCGCAAGACGAACGCCTCGCAAGACGAAAAACCCGCAAGACGAAAGGGTTTTCTGTCGCGGAGGCGCTTCGCAAGACGAAGTTCCCTATGGGCTTGCTTCGCAAGACGAAAACGTCTTGCGAGTCTCACCATTTCCCCCCCCCGCTTTCCCCCCCTTTTTCAAAGCCGCTAAGCTGTTAATAGCCTTTTAACAGCTTAGCCGCTAAGCCGCTAATAGCGCTAAATCGCTAATAGCACTAATCCACTTAGCCGCCAATGGGGTTGCTTCACAAGACGAAAAAACCGCTAGAAGAAAAGAATCGCGGAACGGATTCTTTTTGTCTTGCGAGGCACCACTGTATCATGTAGAAGCTCTATGTATGCATTTGTACACATTCCTTAGGAATTCAGAAACAATTACCTGTTCCTGAATCAAAGATACTTGGAAGATATATAGTGGTTTGGGTAACCATGTGTGTATTCAATTATACTGCAGTAGTTCCACTAGTTTTATTATTTTATGCACATTCAAAGCGGGGGGGGGGGGGGGGAGGAAAGGGTGAGCTAAACATCAAATAAATAAATTTTCTACAACTCTCTGGGGTCTGGATTGAACAAAAAAATCATTCTTGGGAATAATAATGTATAAGGCCTGTACAGACTATTAAAAACATACAAATACCTTATGCCCATAAAACTATTATTTGGTAATGTAAAAGGCTAAGCTATTAAAACAAAAACAACTCAGAACAGATACAGAGCAGCACATACCTGTCCTTCCCGCCTCCTAACAGGCATTTTGACAGTTTCATATACTTAACCTGAGAGGCAAAAAATTGAGGAAATGCACATTTTAATTAATATAAAATCTAATTTTAATTAATATAAATATACTGTACAACTGTGAAAAGTTACATTTTATCAGTAATATCAAAAACACAATAAAAATATACAAGTAAACCAATGGTTAAAAACATGTGTTCTTTAAGATTATTTGTGGCAATCAAAACCTATTTCTGCTTCAAAATCTGACTCTGCATCTACTTTACAATAATATTGATTCATTTTATGTAGTAGTGTTATAAGCCCCATTGAACACAGTTAACTTCTTCCAAGTATACATGCAAAAATTGCAAGTTATGCAACACAATTTTCACCATTTAATATTTGAACTGGTGTGTCTGCCTACTATAACAGTTGTCTTTGAGAACGGTTCAGAAGGTACAACTGATGAAGAATGCCTGCTTGCTAAAGGCAACAATAGATAAAAAACATTAATACACAAGGACTTCTCCAACAGTTTCTGGTACTTTTCAATGTGTTAATAAATACCTACACAGTCCAGACCCAGCATACCTTAGGGATCTGAACACCTCCTTTCTTTAAGATCAGCACCCATCAAATTTGGTAGATTGATGCTGCAGGTCTTTTTCAGTAATGCTACAACTTCTTAGCAAGAGTTCAGCCAAAGTCTCAGTGTGCAGTTACTTAAAAACTCTGCAACTAACCTTATGCCAGATATTAAAGAGCAGTTCCACATTCAACAAACTAGTCATATTTACTAGGCCATGTATCAACATTGAGTTTAGACCCCCATTTTCCAAGAAGGGACATACTTGATTATTAGCTGAAGCTCAGTATGAGCTGCTGTCACAGCCTTAGCCTAGCTATCCAGTAGGCACACATCCAGAAGCACTCCCAAGAAGTGAACCTGATGATTTAGTGGGATATCTTCACCACTCCACTGGAATTAGGACTGCCATGGTTTATTATAATATTGTTGGCTGATTTCAAGTTAAAAATAGTGCATTCACTTAAATCCCATTGATTTCACACTAAGCACACCTGACAGAGCAATTCAAATCTCCTTTTACCAGGCCTTGGGGGGGGTAGTATCCCTCCACCCAGCCTGCTGGCTGTTGGACCCCCATCTGCAGTTACACCAGCTTCACTGCACTGCCATAGGGGTCCTCCTTCCACCTGTTATCAGGCTCAATTGCAGTGCCAGGCTGCAGAAGCAATTTCACTGCCCCTTCCGTCTGACATGCATAGCAAGGTTGCAGATATAGAAGTGGCCCTATTGCGCCATAAAACCCTGCCAGGCTAGGGAGCTGGTTAGGATTAGATCCAACCCAATGCCATTAGGTTTATTAGCCAATGTACGCAATTTTGAACTTTTGGAGTAACATTCCTTCCTTTTTTCTTGCACAGGCAATAAAAATGCATGCAATCTGTAACCTCCCTCAGTTGCAACCCAAATCATGTTTGTTTATATGTTTTGAATGAACAATGAACAAATTGCCTTGGAGTTTACACGTTTATTTATTTATTTTCATTCTGGGATAACTCTGTTCCTACAACAAAAAACATTATATTGATGGTCTTCTTTTCTAGGACTGACAAAGTTTGAAATTGTACCTTTAATGATGGTTAGGTGTGCAGAAACTGATGTGATAATGCTTAGCCCTGTGTAGTGAAAAACTTCATATTCTGATTACTTCAGGTCAGCATGCTTTTAAAGGCACAGGAACAGGTATGACTAGGCAAGATCCAGCAATCTAAGCCCTTTGAAGGCTTTTTATCATTTCTTTGGCAGTTGTCTAGCAGCAGTAATTATCAAAGCAACTACAACCATGCTACAGCAGTATGAAAAAGCTGCTGTATGCTGCATAACTGCTAGTAAGAATTTGGGGTAACAACGGTGAGTTTTACAGTAGATAAACTGGGGTTAACACTTGCCTGGATAAATGCAGTCTAAGCTAAAACTCTCAACAGGAGCAGTTTCTTGTCTCCATGAAGTTCTAGAGTTGGAAGAGACCACAAGGGCCATCGAGTCCAACCCCCTCGATGAACCCCCAGTTCAAGCGGACCAAAATACTCAAGGAAGACTTGTAAAACGAATGACTTATTTTAAACCGTTTGTATAACCTCCCTTAGGCAAATGTCACCCACTGTCCCCTCCCTTCCCTTGCAGGCTGACAAGAAACATTTGCAAACGGGGGTCCGCTTTCATGTTTCTATCCCCAATGTGGAAACCGGTGGGTAAAATAACCCAAGAAAAAGAAAAGTGAGGCGAGCGAAGCAAATACGAAATTTCCACGAAAATTAGCTAGATTTCTCTCAGAAGGAAAAGGAAACCAATGATCTAGCAAGATCAATGCCAATAAATCCGAAGTGGAAACGGGCGGGGGGGAGGGGTATAGCAAAACAAGAGGGTTGCATCCGGCGTGAGGCAGGCGCGCTGAAACCAAGAGACGTGACTAACTTAGGCCCGTTCATTTCCATGGGCCTGCTCTACCCGGTTACCTGGCCAGCGCCCTCAGGCGAGGGTGGCCCTGAAGCCGCGGCTGCGAGGTAAGGGCGGCTTAGGCGCTTCCCTCACACGACGCCCGAACGAAGCCGCCAAGACGCGCCGCCGTCCCGCCAGCCAATCACCTTTCCGGAAGAATACGCCCGCCTCGAGGAACCCTGACAGCCAATCGCTTTAAGCCGTCCTGAGGTGGAAGGCGGGGTCACTCAGAGGCGGGCCGCGGAGGGGGCGGGGCGAGGAAATCCTCTCTCCCAAGTCCAAGGCCCTCCCCACGCAGTCACGCTCGCTTCCTCCTCCTTCTCCACGCTGCCTGTTCCTTCCAGCCAATCAGCGGGTGACGAGCGTGACTGATAACGGTCGTTGTCAACCGCTGTTTCTCGCCCCGCCCCTGCTCGCTCCAGAGGTTGACGCGATTGTCGCCCGCAACTGCTAAAGCTCTGTTAATTACTTGCGCAAATGTCGAGCGCTTAATTTACTGTATTTCTATTTTTTCCCCGCGAACGCACGAACTGCCACGACCATCTTTAGAGTAGTTTTCCCTTCTCCACAGTATCCCCTCAAGTGCTTTTCAATTCACCTCAGTATTTTCATAACGCCCTCGCTTCATTGGACATAATGATAAATGGCGCTAGTTAACATTTATTGTCATTGGTAGTAATGGTCATAGTAAATAAGTACGGCCTCCATTTTTTTAAGATGTGAGGAGAGAATTCACTAAATTGCTTTCAAGTTCTTAAATCCTTCCCAAATTCTAGCACTGTTGTTGCGTTTAAAACAAAAATGTGTACAGCTGAGAAACGAGCTTGTTTTGGGCGAGCACATGTGGCTCGCCGAAACGCTGCTTCCTTCACTGCACATTCTAAAAACGCAGAAAAATAAGCGCTGAGGTAAATATTGTCCCCCACAGATTAAAAAAAGGCAAAACATCCAGCAGCAGCCACCCTAGTGCCGTTTTATTCAAATCAGTATGTGGATTTTCTAAGTATGCCACTTCAAGCACTGTTCTACTTGTAATAACATTTTTTTAAAAGGGAATAAGAAATATAGAGTGTTAAACCTTGTGAGGAAAATTTATAAGCACCACCAGATGTCACTGTAACATAAGAAAATATAGGCAACCTATACAGTAGCATGTACATTGCAGCTTTTAAGTACATTTGAGGAACATTTCGCCCCTCAAAGAATCCTGGGCGCTGTAGTTTGCTGGGAATTGTAATTCTGTGAAGGGTAAACTACAGTACCCAGAATTCTTTGAGGGGAGGGGAATGTGATTTGAATGTGCTTTAAAGCTACAGTATAGAGTATGGGTTAAGCCCCTTGCCAGATTGTGCAGGAAAACATTTGCATCTGCAGCTGTGCAAGGACATGGAAATGCAAGGGGCCAAAACGCTTTCAGTTAAATTCATTGTATGAATTGAATTCGCAGTCCCAACCCCTCATCCCCAGCCCCCTCTTATTCAAGAGGGGCTTTGTGGCATGGCAGAGCCATTGCCACATCTGGAGCCTGTGAACAACAACAAGCAACACGTTGGTTAATAATATACTATACAGTACTGACAATATTTTTTTATAACACTATACTGTTTTGAAATATACTTGGAGTCAGTGGATTTCATGCTCTTTATTCAGCTCATAGTGGTGAGGAGGAATGGAATTTCCCCCAGAATGTCTGCTTTATATACATTATTTACACAATGGGCCCCACGTGATTGGCTAATTCTGGGATTCTCCTGTAGGCCAATCAGGTTGCGGATTCACTTCCACCTGGGTGGCTCCTGTGAACCAATCAGACTGCTGCATTCTGAATCCTATTGTTCTAGGACCAATCTGACTGCTGCATTCTGAATCCTATTCAACTCAGTACATAACATGTTTGAAAATTCATATACAGAAGACATATAATATGTGCATGGAGTCACAAATTTATAAGAATCAAATAAATGTTCTATTAACAGGAATGGTAGGAGTAGTAAGTCACCGTCAAAGATCACTGAAATGGAGGCAGAATGCCTTTCCACAGTCAATTTCCTACAAATGTGAGATGATAGGTGCTCCAAACGTCACTGAGCACAGCAGCAGACAGAACAGTTCTTCCAGGAAAATGTACTGTTTCAATGATAATTCTTCATCAGCTGGCAATAGTATAAAATGAAATCCATTACATTCAAATACAATACAGAGATTGCAATGACAGGCCTGCATATAAACAATAATAAATACATAGCAAATTAATTGTCCCCAAAGGTACATCAAATGGCCATGGATCTGGAGCCTGGCCAGCTGCAGGGGGAAGGATAATCAGGCATGATCCCTGCACCAGCACAGGTCCAATCAGGTCTGGATTGGACCCAATGGCAGCGGGTGATGGCTATGAGACAAATCTGGAATCCTGGGCTGGCTCCACTTTGGACCCCTCTACTTTGGGGCTTTCTTCTGGCAGGGATACGGCCGGTGAGCCTTTCACCTGGCATATGCTCAGCAGATGGAAGGGAGAGGACAACGCCATGTCAGTCACTATGTCAGCTGAGATTGGTGGGAGGCCAGTTCAGCTAAGAGAGCCCAATGGAAGGATGCTTCCACTTTTGTATATTGTGCCGCCCCTCAGTTAACTTAATTGATTTTAATATGTGCTTGACTAACGTGGTGCACCCAGTTTACCATGCAGATATTAAATGTTTTAATCCAAGAAGCTAAAAAAAAGAAAAAGAAGTCTCCAGATAGTTATCTCCCTCCTCATTTTATCTTCACAACCAACCTGTGAGATAGGGTCTGCTCTAACCCAGAGCTTTCCAAAGTTTTCATGTTGGTGACACACTTTTTTTTTGACATGCATCATTTCACAACATAGTAATTCAGTTGTACTAGTAAACCAGGGGTTAAACGAACCCCTTCCCAGCCCTGGAGCACGGGGAGTGTTCGTGCGACACAACTACACGCTGCAGCCGACACACTGACATGTCATGACAGTTTGGAAAGCTCTGCTCTAACCAACTTAAAACAGCCATTTCCCCTTATTCCCCCCAAGAGAGAAAACCACTTCTAAGATGGGGCCTGACTGCAGGCATCATCACAAATCAAAGTGGGCTTTTGCTTCAGAACTATCTGTTTAAAATGTGCACCTACATGCAGACTTAACTGATTACATGCCATACAATTAATCAACTTTCTTTCGTTGGGTGATGGCCACAGATATCTACTTATTTAGGCAGAATATACTATTTAGTTGATTGTCATCCTTCCCATTTTTTAAACAATTCTTTTTTTAATAGTTGAAAATGCTTTGGGCACTGGGGTGGTTGTGGTCAGCTCACTGACATCACAGCTTGCTTGGTACCAGGCACCCTGAACTCTCCACCATGTTGTAGATCTTCGCAAGCTGTTTTCATGCTTGCAACAAAACAGAGAAAGTGCATCTGTAAATACTGTCTTTGCTACCAGTGGTGCCTGTTCCCTGTTGGAATAGTAGGGCACAAGACAGGAGACCAGCAGTCCATAAAGCCACTTTTAACATATTGGGGAAATGTACCTATGATTTATATATATTAGTTATCTCATAAGCCAGTCCTTTAGGTGACAATCTATTTGAAAAACAACAAACCATATTTGGCAAACAGACCACACTGACTTTTGGCTGGAATTAGATGCAGTTGTTGCTTTCAGATTTTGCAAGAGTAACGAGGGACAGTTAAACAAAAAGTTTCCAAGAAGACAGATCCCAAAGCCTTGCACAAAGTAAGTTTATTTGATTTTGTGTTTTGACAGAAAAAGCTGATATTTATTCAATCTGACCAGAGCATGCTTGAGGATACGGGGGCGGGGGAATGATATTTGTAACAATATCATATGACCTTCAGACAATAACACAGATGAGTGATACAGTTCAAGGCTAGGTCTGACTTGGAAGAAAACACCTGCAAAGTTCATAAATAAATAAATACAACAATCAGCTTCCAGCCATTCCTGAGAACGTGGCATCTTACAATGGAAGTACAACAAATAAATCCTGTTTCATTACTTATTTTAAGGACATTTGGATGTGACTCATTTCTATGCTTTCAGATCTTAGAAATTTATGGTCAAAAGCACCAGAGCAGGGGGAACAAACACGTAGTTCAGTATCATTGTACAAATTCAACCAATAAAAGGCTGGTTTAAGTATGCACACAACTTGCTTTTTAAACTTCCAATTAAATCACACCTGAAGATAAACTGAAGGTATACATACACATTTATCAATGTCTTCTGCTGAAGAACATTCTGTGGAAGAGGTCAGGAAGTTTTCTTTTTTTAAAAAAAACAATATTTATTAAATTTTTCCAATCCAAATTATATATTCCATATTATACAAATTATCCAATAATCAAACAAATCCCAATGTTATGCCTAATTATAAATTATTATTATTATTATTTAGCTGACTTTCCATACTTTGAGATTGGAGGGAATCCGAATCGTCTCATATTTCTGCTTTCCAGGTCCCCATGT